GGGGGGGGGGGCGGGCAGGATCATAATCTCCATCCTAGATTTCAGTCCACATGTAATTGTTCCGCAAGTGTTGTTCTGCTTGGGGTCCGCTACCTATTTGTATACATGGACTATTTTTACAGAAAATCATTTTGCTGTATGTGCTGTTTGTACACAAACCCTTTGATTTAAGAAGTGTGTGTGAGAGAGAGAGACTGTGTGGTTGCTATCATTGGTGAAGTTTTTAGTTTTTTAATCATTCTCTTAAACTGGCTGGAAATCAATCTTCAATATATCTAACAGTGGGCCTTTAAATCTCACTGAGAACCCCCGATCTCCTGTCTTAAAATCTGTATTCCCTAGTCCACCAAAATCTGAAACGTTGCCCTTTGTACATCATTGTAGAGTGCAGCTCTGCTTATCCTTTTTATATGCATGGAGGTCTGTGCCCATTTTGCTGTACACATCAGTCGGGCCTGTGCAGCAGGCCTTTAAAACTGGTTCATCTCACCAGAAATCATGGCTTTTCTCCTGCTTCAAACCCTGGGAATGTCATTTCTGTGAGGCAACTTGGAAATTCTTAACAGAAAATACTCAGTTTGCTCCGGTCCTCAGGGTTTCTCGGAGAACGTTTAACCACTTAAACAGATCTGAAACCAGTTTGCATCTGTGATGCAGATGCATCCGTAAGCAGTGTTTTCTGTGCATGGACATGTTTGCTATGACCAAGCTTGAAAACCCAGCACTGGGACCCTTGTTTCAAATTGGTCACTAGCCGAGTGCCCTCCATTTTGGAACCTGCTGCTTTCGTGGAGTGTTTCCGAGGGGCAAGTGCTTGGCCCTGGGGGGGGGCAGGAAGTAGCCCCCTCAAGTGCTTTAATGTAACACTTGAAATCTCTTGTTAGTTGTGGCCCTGCTAATAGTGATCCGGTTACAGCAAAGTACTGCCATTGGACGAAGGAATTCTGAGAGAACAAAACAGTTCATTCCGTTCAAGGACTTTTACTTGTGTATCACAAGAAACAGGGCAAAATCTGTCCATCTCTTCTGCTCTGTTCTGCATCTGTTTTTTGCAACTACTTATAGCCACTTAGGGCCCAATCCACCGCAGACTTCTGCTGGCGCCCCATGGATATGGACAGGCTTCCGTTTCTTTCAATAGGGCTCACGCAGGAGAAGTCTGTGTTTGACTGTGCCCCCTTTCCCCCCAGAGACATCAGTCCCTTTCAATTTTCACTGTTATTTTTATGAACTTGTCCTATATAGGCCACTCTAACACAATCACGAATGTATTAACTAAGTGCTAAATGTGTCCATGATGTGTCTCATGTCCTACAAACACATTTTTTTTCCAGTTTCTCTCCACAGTTGTCATCTACCTTCCCTTCTAGGACTGTCTGTTTCGTTCCTTGTCTGGCCAACAGTCAGGGCTGGATTAACCATTCTGATAAGTACCCTACAGTGTCAGCTCTGGCCCAATTAGAGCCCTTTCTCATAAGTGACTGGAGTTTCCCCGCTGTATTTATCTCGCTGCCTTTTCGTCAATATCTGTGCAGATAGGAAGAAACTGGCTGTTCCAGTGCTGTAAAGCAGGACTGCCATGGCCGTGCTCCCATCAACAGAGAAACATAAAGCAATGCTGTTCTCTCCAGTATAAGGAGTAGAATGTCCTATGCACTTCAGATGACTTGAGGCAGTTTAGATGGGACAGGAGTAATGGCATGTGTGTTTGCGTCTGTCTGTCTGTCTGTCTTTGTGCCCATCAAGAATATCCGTTGATAAGTTGTATCATTGGCTACAATTGCATTACATATGAATAAAAACAATGGTCCTGATCAGGACCTTCTTTTGTTAAAAAGCCCAGCAGGAGCTCATTAGCATAATAGGCCACACCCAACAGCAGAAATTCATTAGCATATTAGGTTGGGCAGGGAACCCGGGCATGTTTAGAATGCCTTTCTTTCCCTTCGCCAACCTGCCACGAAAGCTAGCCGGAACGCCGTTCCGGTTCGTTCCTGCCCCAAAATAGCCCTAGTCCTGATAAAAAGCATACTTTGCTTTTTTCAGCTAAAGCACACACAGGGTTGTGGCAGGTAACATCTTAGAAGAGGCGTTCCTTCTTTGTGTGAGAGAAGGGAAGGGCAGGAGGATCTGTAATCTAAGACAGCTTGTGCCACCTCTAGTTTTTATAATTACTTATATTAGAAATAGTTAAAGTCTTTAAAAAAAAGCTTCCCAGGCATTCAGGGCACCCTTTAATTGATCACAAGCATTTAAAGCATTTAAGCATTTAAAGCAGCCATTTGAACTTAATTAATCACCAAAGCATTATGGCCCTTTTTATATGAAGGCTGGAAGAATTTGGAGTTGTGTGTGTGTGAGGCTAAAGATTCCCATAGTAAAGCCTTTTCAGCAAGAATCCTTCTAGACAAAACCAGTCCTTTGTTTTCTTCTCTGGCACTCAGATGCCTCTTTTCCAAAAGTGCACTTAAATTTCTTAGGGCTAAATTATTAAATCTCAAGTTGGGGACAGGCACTCGTTTTTCAGAGAGCAGGAGGCATTTCTTCTCCAGTCACGAAGTCACTGTTTCCCATGGTGTGTCCATTTCTTTCTTGTTTTGTGTCTGCTTTGTACAAGCACAGTGGAGACCTGTAGTACCTGTGGATGGAAATGAATGTGTCCATCGTGGGGAACAGTGTCCCTATCGAATCACCTTCAGTTGTCTCAAAAAGCTGTTGTGTGTCTTCAGGCTCAGAGATAAATCAGCCATTGCCTGGTTCCGTTGTCACAATCACTGCATCATTTTTGGAGACCCGTGCTTTATTTCGTTGTAAAGCTGTTTATTCCCTTGGCCATGTAAACTATTGTTCTGTAACATTTTGTGCCTAGGAACTTAAGGCCAGTATTTTGACTCTTGCGACACAAATCTTGACTGGGTGTGATGAAGTCCTAGAAATGCTGCAGCAAGTCACCATGGCTCTTATAAACAGTGGTATTCCAGACAGGGAACAGAGGTAAGAGTCTCATTGCGGATGGCAGGATATCATATTAATTGGAAATTCCACAGCTACTGTGTAATCCAGTTGTCTGCACATGTTAGGCCAGTGTTTGGCTGGCAGGAGGGTGTAAATTCAGGCAACATCAGGTCTTCAAGGCAAAAACCAGCAGGACGTGAGGTAAAATACTAGAACAGACAGCACAATATGCCACATTTCTCAGTGACGAGGGTGAAGTGGTGATTGGGCTGAGTAAGTTACAGAAACACCATGGGCAAGGGATTGGATCAGTGTCCAGGGTGAATGGCTGGAACATGTAATTTTCGATTGTAGTTTATATTGTAACATTAGGGAAGTTCTGGTTAAGCCTATTGTTAATTTCTACCCAGGTCGCATACTTTTGTCAATTATATTGGCGGTTAATAATCAAAAGCTGACTAGGATGGTTGCCAAATTTGATTGGTTGGCATACCAGACTAGGAAAGAGATAAAGAATGCTGATAGGCCTAGATTTATTTTTAAACTTTGATCTCAATATTAATTTTTACCATTTCTGTATTTTAAACTTTTTAGTTAGTCAGCCTTTATTGGCATAAAACAATACCTTAAAAGAGGGTTACTATAAAAAAGAGGATTATACATATAGAATCATATAAAGCCATACATATAGAGCCATGCTTATTACATAATGTTGCATAACATTATGTAATAGAGAGTCAGTTTGGTATAGTGGTTAAGTGCACGGACTCTGATCCGGGAGAACCGGGTTTGATTCCCCACTCCTCCACTTGCACCTGGCTGGATGACCTTGGGCAAGCCATAGTTCTGACAAGAGCTGTCCTTGAAAAAGAGCAGTTACTGTCAGAGCTCTCTCAGCCCCACCCACCTCACAGGGTGTCTGTTGTGGGGAGGGGAAGGGAAAGGAGTTTGTAAGCCGCTCTGAGACACCTTTGGGTAGTGAAGGGCGGGGTATAAATCCAATCTCTTCTTCTTCTTCTTCTTGCATAAAACAATTTGTTACGAAGCATTACTCAGTTTTTCCTGTCGTAGCTTCATAACTGATTGTAGAAATATGGCTACCTTCCTTGATATTTCAGAAGCAGAGTCATTCAAAAGACGGTATATTTTTAAAGCATCAAGAAAGTCCGTCATGTTGGCTAAAACAGGGTTTAAATATCTAAAACGTATGTCTACATAAAATTGACAATGCAAACAAATATGTGAAACTGTCTCAATGCACCCAGAGTAACAATGGCAAAGTCTGGCCGTGTATACTTTGTTATTGTATCTAGCAAGATTGCTGATGGCATGACGTTGAATTTATTTGCCTCTTATTGTATTGTTTGCTGGTCTATGACCGTAATGAATTGACTGACTGAACCGATTGATTGAATGACTGGAAGCCGAGAGGTTTCAAGGGCTTTGGGGGAGCAGCGTGGAAACAAAACAAGTTTCCCTGACGTGCAAAGGGAAGAAGCAGAAAGGATTCAGTGGCCAAAAGTGACAGGTAGCTGCCAGTCAGACACACAAGTGGCAGGACAGTTCAGTGAAGGACCACAAAGTGAACTTAATCAACAGGGCCTCTCGTTGCAGGTTAAAAGGCCTGGAGCAGGTGACCAAAGCCACAATGCTGGGCCACTTGCTTCCGGTCCTGCTGACCTCCCTGATGCATCCCAACCTGCAAACGTTGACCATGGCCGATGCTCTGATGCCGCAGCTGGTGCAGCTGGTCCTCTACACAAGCCAGGTGCGGCATTTCTACTGGAACTTTTACACATCTGACAGCTTAGTGTGGTTTGTTTGTTCTGACTGGGGGCCCTCAGTATTAATGTTCAAACTCATAGCAGTTATTGACCCAGTGGGCAACTTCCAGCAGTGATGTTTACGATAGTGCCTTAGGCTGCGGTCACACGTCAAGCATACCGCGGTTTGTTCCCGCTGTAGATTTGATCGGGGATATTTCTAAGCGGGTTCAGATGATCACACATCCCTTGCCCAACCGCTTGCTTTGCGCGACAGTGCTCCAGGCACTGTCCAGACGCGGCACAGTTTTCAAAAAAATTATTTGCACATGCGCATATGCGCATGCATGCGCACAATGGTGAAAGTCGTCAAAAAAAACCCCTACCGGAAGAAGGACGTTCAGATGACCTAAACGCAATCATTGCGAGAGATGGCTGTCCAGATAGGCAAATCTCGGATTCAGAACGCAAGTACTCGGAAGGTAGTTGATTTTACCAGTGTCGGAAAACTCGCTAGGGAACTGGGAGGATCGCGCGAGTGAGCGCACTTCGGTGCTGGAGACGGATGTGGGCGTCTGATCAGCAATTTTAAATGCGAGAGGGAACAGCGGTGAAACCCTATCAAAATGACCGTGTGACCGCAGCCTTAAACACGGCTGTGTGTACTTTCTTCTACAGCAGACAGCATCCTTTATTTTATTTTTTTACTCTCCCCCCTCCTACTGTTACTGGTTCCAATGGAACTGAAGTAGTATTTGCCTACCCAGTATGCATTTAGGCAACCTGGGCTCCTCTCCACACCTTTCGCAAAAACATAGATCAATTGCTTGCTAATGGAGACCATCATGTGGCCTCAGTCTGGTATTCTCTGAAGCACCATTTGACAGCTTGCCAGGAAGTTCAGTCTCCCCCCCTCTCCCAGTGGATATTCTGGAACTGGAGGGTTGTGGCTCCCAACGGACAATAAAAAGGCCTAAAGGATTGGCCTGGAGTGAGGAGGATCGGTCTCAGAGAGGAGGCTTACAAGTCCACCTTCCCAGTTTTCCCTCTCCCCCGTCTAGTTGCAGCATTAATCAGTGTGCAGCTTTATTAATCGCAGCCCACGTTTGTTTGATCAGCTCTTGTCCCGAAACGTCTTGTGTTACAGACAGCCTTGCTTCTGAAAACCCAGTCTCCGGTTTTCTCCGAAGTGGGCAGTTCTCCTGGAGGAGCCTCTGAACAAAGGAGCGAGCTGTTCCCTGAGGAGAGGTAATCGATGTAGCATCACCGAACTGCCCTTTTACACCCAGCATTCACCCAGTGATGTACTAAGAGCACGCTCATAATTTGCTGCCAGTGTGGCTGCCAGACTAACCCGTTATTGCATGATTCAGAGGCAGGGACCTCAGCGGTCAGCGTTGGGCTACTCTTTTAAATTGCTTTGCAGGCCCATAACAAAGCCTTCCTGTAAAGAACTGGCAGCAGTTATTCTAATTGGAAGCCCTGTCGAAGGAAGGATGAGCTGCATCTTTTTATTTCTCTTCCCCCACGGCCGCCACCTTTAGAAGAACGGCAGGGGATATTTAGCTTGAGAGATTAAGAAACACTGCAGAGGGCAAGATGTTTCTACCTCCTCCTGGTTTGCAGCGTTTATTAAGGTGTACACATGTTAAAAATATTTATTAAGGTGTACACATGTTAAAACTTTCCTGATTAAAAATTACTTTGTCTAAGATCAGACTATATGATGGGTAAATAAGACCAAACGCGTTTCGGCCCCTAAGGGCCTTCCTCAGTGATCACTATTATCTTGATGGAGTGACACACATTCAGACCTACAAAATCACTGTTACCAGAATAAGTTGTGGAGGTGATATGGCTATACCTATGGCCCATCACTAATACCAGGAGTCCAATTATAAGTATACAAGGAAACAACATCCGGTTTAATTAATGTGTACTAAAACTCTGTAACAGGTCTTTGAATGTGTGTCTAGAATATATAGATAATAGTGACCACTGAGGAAGGCCCTTAGGGGCCGAAACGCGTTTGGTCTTCAGTTGTAAATTATTTACCCATCATATGTATGTATAGAGGATAAGCTTTTATAGTCTGATCTTAGACAAAGTAATTTTTAATCAGGAAAGTTTTAACATGTGTACACCTTAATAAATATTTGTACTTTTATATATATGGTTTAGCTTAGCCCTTTTTGGTTCGTAGTAATATCCTGGGTTGAGTCCCCCCCCCCTTTTCCCCCCAGTTTTTGCAGTGTTTAGTCCACAGGTGACAGTTGTTTAAGGGCATTCTTCACAGGGCCCCGCTTGTGGTCCTTGCCATTGGCATTGCCTGGTTGATGGGCTACTGTGGAAGTCACTCTGGGGAAGGAACTTAGCTGGGGAGGGAGCGTATCTGGGTGGGGGGGGGGATGACCCATCTTTGTGGGCTCCACTTGTACTGTGTATTTTCTGTCAGGACTAGATTTCAGGTTCAGCTTATTAGGTTTAAAAGCCCATAGGCCGTACACCATAAAAGACTTTAAAAGATTTTAAACATTTAAGAGAACTGTCCCACACCTGTTATGCAATTTTGGCACAAACTACTCAGCGGGAGTCTCAACCTTGTAGCTTCTGGAAAGGGTGAGGATTTCAATAGCCATTTCCCCCAAAATTTTCCTCTCCCAGCTGTATGTTTTGGGCAGTGAAAGGATATGTGAGCGAGTGAATCTATAGCTGCTAATGGGCAGTCACAGTAGCGTTGGTTGGCCGGAACACCCTGAAAGCAGCCCTCCATCTGTGCAGATGGAAAAGCATTGCAGCGTGCCACCATGTATGCTCTCCTCAGATTGGGGATAGACAGTATATACAGATAGTGTGGTGTGTCGTGTTTGGTGGGGTATTTAATCCCTAAATGGAGTGGTGAACATTTTCGCATGGCGTCCATTTGAAGTGCATTCCAGTCGCGTTCCGTTAACTTCATGATGAGCTTCGCTCTAATTTTAGATGTTAACTTTTCTGTTTGATGTCTGCCCAATTGCTTAAATTTGATGTCCACGGTGTTATGGAATTTCAGTGAATGTTGAAAGTCTCTGCTGGAGGCTACAGATCTGCAAGTTTTCCCCTTGCTGTCATTTCTCTTTCTTTTACACCAGAATGCTAGAAGAGAAAGAAGAGCCAGGTTTCCTTACTGGCTTGAAAATTCCAGCTCCTTGGGCTGCTGGGAAGACTGTAGAGACAGTTCATCCCGTCAGGGACAATTATAAATTTAAGGAGACAGTTCATATCCCAGGAGCCCGTTGCTTGTATCTGAGGTTTGATAGCCGATGCTCCTCGCAGTATGATTATGACAAGGTAAGCCGGGGCCAGAATGGGGATGTCAGTTTGGGCAAGACCTGCTAGAAAGATCTCCCTTCCAAACTATAGGGAGCCTTACTCTGATTATAATCCCATTTGCTTCAGTTCTACATATTGTGTTTTGTAGCATCTTTGTGTTGTAAACGCTTCTCTTGATCTTTGGTGGCACGGAGCATGTTTCCTGATGCCCTGAACGAAAAGGGGGAGGGAAGTTCTGAGGACTATACCACACTTCTGCAGCCTCTGTGTGCAGTTGTAGAAGTCAGTGATGAAATGGAGATAATCCGGAATGATACAACTGTGAAATTCTGCATCTAGAAAAAGCTGGGCAAAATTGAAAGGAGAGATCTAGCTTTCCAAGAAGACGTCATGAGTTCTTAGCAGCAGTGGAACAAATTTCTCAAGAATCGCTTCCCTTGGGAAAGAAAACTGAGTGGTACACTAGGAAACAGCATTACCCTGAACATGATCAATCACTGTTTCTGTGAGAGGTTGTTGTAGATGACATTATTATACTTCCAGGTCATTTTCTGTGGTGTCCCTTTAGGGGACTGAGGAACAGAGAGGGGGCTGTTCTTCCCATCTCAGTGTCCCAGGGTGGCTGTACACTTGGAGACAATTTCAGTTCCCCTGCTCCCAGGGACTGTGAAGTGGAAGGTGAGACCCACCGGGTAGATACCTTTGAGCTTCACAGAACACCATTAGAAGCAATGGTGCTCTAGAGGAAATTAACTCCTCTGAACTGAGAGGTGAGGATGTATGAGTGTCCAAAGGTGTTTGCCGGCTAGAAGCACTCATTCTGAATTGGCATAAAGCAAGCTGTCAGAACCCACAGCCCACAACGAAGTACACGCATTCAGGAATGGTTATACTTTTATTGCAGAGCTATAGATGCAGTAACATAGGCACTGTTAAGAATGGCGGCGGCCCCATGGGCATAATAGGATATAGGGTATTCGTATGCACCCCTCCACAGCACTGGCCAATTAGGCACCCTCCTGCGTGCGGGTTAAGGCTTAGAGATTGTTAGGTAGCTGAAACTGAGAACGAACACTCTCCCACGGCACCTAGGGCAATCCCAGACACCACAACACCCTCCTGCACATCTGTATAGATAAGCATTTTGGCGCACAGCAGAGACAGCACAGAAAGGAATGCAGTAGCAATTAACCTGAAAGGAAAGCAATAGCAATTAACCAGACACAGACCAACCTCCCCAACCTTCATGGCAGTATAGCTGACACAAGCTAGGTAAAATACTTCTTTGTTCCAGTGTACCTGTTTGTAAAATCAAGGTAACGTTTGGTTGTCCCGTTCTAGCAGTTCAGGAAGTTGTTTCAGTCTTCAAAATGCTGTAAGCATGCACTCTGACTTTATAGAATCATAGAATCATGGAAGGGACCTCCAGGGTCATCTAGTCCAACCCCCTGCACGATGCAGGAAACTCACAAATACTTCCCACCCCCTGTGACCCTTGCTCCATGCCCAGAAAATGACAAAAACAAACCATCCAACCCTCCAGGATCCCTGCCCTTGCTGTCTGACATTTTAGTTCTTTTTCTTTTTTTAAGTTGGTGATCTATGCTGGCCCCAACACAAATAGTCGGAAGGTTGCTGAGTACGGGGGCAACACCCTTGGATACGGCAGCCGTAGCGTCTTAGGAACTGGTTGGCCCAAAGACCTTGTAAAGGTACGGTATGATGAAGTGTCTGTCTTTGAAAATGGCCTAGCGGTCACATGGTGGTTAAGAGGAGCCACTTTCCCCTAAGAAAATAGGGTTGATGGGAGCACCAGAACAATTGCGACCACCAGCCAATTGCGTTAAGTTGCCGTAGTTCCTTGTTTCAGTCCTGTCACCTCTCCTGAAAGCCCCCTTGGGAATAAGCAGAAGCTTCTGTTCATCCCACATGAAGCTGCCTTACACTGAGTCTAACCATTGGTCTATCAAAGTTATTAGTGTTGTCCACTCTGATTGGTGATAGCTCTCCACGTGCACAGGCAGAGGTCTTTCACATTATCTTCTACCTCATCCTTTTAACTGGAGACGACATGGATTGAACCTGGGGACCTTCTGCATTGCTCTGCCACTGAGCCGCAACACGTCCCACCATGCTTGGTAATTTAACACTGTCTTTTTTGTTTTACCTTTTTTTTAAAACCTCAGGTGGAAGGGGATACCGTGACTTTCTCCTTTGAAATGAGGAGTGGCCGAGAGCACAACACCCCAGACAAGGCCATGTGGGGGTTTTCTTGCACTGTCCGGGCACAGGTACGCTTGTTTCAGGCTTTGCATTGCATAGGGATCATGAACTCTGAAGGTGCTAAAGTAGGCCTAGGTGTACTGTGTCTTAGGGTGGGTGTGGGTGGGGAAACATCTTTGGCCCTGTTCAGGTCTGCCCATAATCTACAAAAAGAGAAGGAGAATCCGCCGTCACTCAGATTGCTGAAGCCTATATTGGTAGGTAGTGTTCAAGGGGAGCTGAACCAAGGCCTGACCACAGCTGCACGGAGAGAGTGGGAGGTGATTTTTGGCAGGACCCGGACTGCCCATGGTGCTGTTTAAATTCTACCAAGAAAATCAAAGAGGGCCTAGTCATCGCGAGAAGGCTCAACCTTATTCTTGTGGGAGGCAGGCAAGAACACGCTCTTAAGCAGGCCCATAGCTGGAATCTTTTAATTCGGGGGGGGGGGCTTTAGATAAGTCGGGGGCACCCCACACACACCTCTGCACACAACCCCAAGGGAGCGCTTGGGCTGGATGGGAAGTTGGAGGGGCCTTGGTGGTAAGTCAGGGGGCCGGGCCTCGAGAGGCCCCACTGTGGCTACGGGCCTGCTCTTCAGAGTGGTTTGGCCATTCCGATGAGGCCCTCTGAACTCCTGCCTTCCACTGTTGTCATTTGTGTTCAGTGTTTTCACAGGTTCCACTTCGCTGTGCAGAACCTGTTCAGTCTGAGCATTGCAACAAACAAAGTTTTCCAGTAAATCCATAGGGTCAGAGCCTTGGGGTCCATTCGGCTAATGGTGGCAAGGAGGCCAGGGAAGGCTCACTGTGCCAGGGGAAGATGCCACCGTGAGCAGAATGGATCCATGGTTATCTAACCCACTGGCATTTTGCATGCCTGCAGAAGAGTGTGCAGCGAGATATTTCCTTTTTCAGCTGCAGCTCCCTCCCACTTCCTGGAACATTTGTTGCAGTTCCAATTAGCTGCTCTGAAAGGAAGGAATTTAGAGGCTCACGTTGCACCTGTCTCTGGGTCAGGGCCATCTTTTTTTAATTAGAGGGCTGGGCTTCAGCAGATGGTGTTCAGTTAAGAACATAAGAGAAGCCAATGCTGGATCAGGCCAGTGGCCCATCCAATCCAGCACTCTGTCACACAGTGGCCAAAAATACCAGGGGCCATCCGGAGGTCCAGCAGTGGGGCCGGGACACTAGAAGCACAGGGCACTATTGCCCCCCCCCCCCCAGGCACCCAGAATTCAGAGCATCCCTTGCCCCAGACTGAGAATTCCTATCTATACCTTGTGGCTAAGAGCCACTGATGGACCTCTGTAGCTGCCACCTCCTGTAGCAGTGAATTCAGTGTGTTCATCACTCTCTAGGTGAAGAAGGACTTCCTTTTATCCATTCTAACCTGACTGCTCAGAAGTTTCATGGAGTGCCCACGAGTCCTTGTATTGTGAGAAAGGAAGAAAAGTGCTTCTTTCTTGACCTGCTCTATCCCAGGCATCATCTTATAGTCCCCTCAGCCATCCAAGCTAAAGAGCCCCAAGCGTTTTAACCTTTGTTCTGCCTTTTCTCCTTCTCCATGAAGGAATCCTCAGAAGATGTATCAGGAGGATTACCATTCTTGGTAGACCTTGCGTTAGGCTTGTCTGTGCTGGCTTGTTCTATGCTGAGGATACTGTACAATGGACCAGAAATAACCAAAGAGGAGGAAGCGTGCCGAGAGCTTCTGAGATCCAAACTTCTGCAGAGGTAAACACCTTTTGTCATCAATACGGGTTGTGCGAAAGCGAGTCCAGTGTGCTAATCCTTGAAACCAGATGGAATGAATTTAAACATGCTCCTGGTGTGTGTGTGTGTGTGTAGCTGAGTTAGTGCTAAGTTGCAACATCTGCCAGGTGGTCGTTGTTTTCCAAGCTGCCTTTTTAATAATACATAAATCTGGCAGGCAAATGAGTTGTAGATAAAGGTAAGAGGCAATTGAGAGACCCCACAGTATGAAAGCAAAATTCCTTTGTGGTCAGAAAACCCTCAAATGTTTTTTTGTAGAACCACTTCGTTTTGAAATTGTGTCAAGACAAAAAATGTGTTTCTCTGGAAGGAATGCAATAGAGAGAGAGTGAGAGGAAGCAGGGGAGAGAGCGAGAGAGCTTGAAAGAGCACCCTTCCGATGTACTATATCACCTGCCTTTCTTTTGGAACTCTCTAGTTTTAATTACACCACCCTGATTTAAAGGGCTTTAAAATGGCTTTAGGTTTTGTCTGGATCGGAAAGCAGCTAAGACTTTATACTTTACCGTCTCCCAGGTGCCAGTGGCAAGTGGAAGCCAATGGCGTCATCTCCCCAGCCCTCACGCCAAGCCCTTCCCCGCTGCCTCTTACCATAGATGAAGACCGGGAGTTCACCTACCCTTCCGATGTCCTTGTGCCCCCTGTGGGTCACTACTTTGACTTGCCAAGGATCAGGCTCCCTCCCGGAATCATGATAAAACTCAGGGAAATATCTGGCCGTGCTCGGCCCCAGTTTAGACCCAGCATCAGGTACGTAACAACGACTCTTTTCCCCAACGCTTCTTTTACTTGCAAGTTTGATTTTGCAGTTATTTACACCGGCAGTCTTGTCAAATGCCTCTGTTTAAATGTATGTAAATCACCAAAGACCCTGACCTGGAGACCCCAGAATAGCCCAGTCTCATCAGATCTTGGAGGCTAAGCAGGGTGGGCCCTGGTGAGTACTTGGATGGGAGACCACAAGGAAGTCCAGGGTCGTGACGCAGAGGCAGGCAGTGGCAGAACCACCTCTGCTTGTCTCTTGCCTTGAAAATCCCATGGGAGCCTCTGTAAGTCAGCTGCGACTTGACAGGACTTTCCGCCTCCACCAGATAACGGGAGGTGTAACATTGTTCATTTCCCCCACTGTTGTGAAACCTGTTTATGGTGATTTTTATTTTAGCCGCTAGATACTTGACTCCCAAGTGTGGTTTGTTCATTCGTACATTTACTTGATCGTGGCACGTAGATGGTGCTTAAGAGGAGTCGCATGCCTGACAGCAAGCGGGAAATCTGCCCCTTCTCCCAGCCCCTCCCCAGTTCTAAAATTGACCAGCCACGTCCGTGGCGTCCAGGCCTGATCTCCGCCTCCTGAGTGCATCGTCTCCTCTTGTGCCGGTGGCTGAAATTCTTCTCCGGCATTCAGCAGAAGTCCCGGTTTTGGTATTCTGCTAGTCGGGGGTCATTTCCTGCCGGAACGCGCCGGAACAGCACTCCGGCAGTAAGGGGGCCTGGGGCCCCCCCCCCCCCGCCTTCCCTGGCCCGCCCACCGAGGCGGACGGGCCAGGGAAGGCCTGCAGAGCCCCCCTGCCACCTGGGGGGGGGTTAAATGCCTTCCTTTCCCTTCCCCAGATGGGGAAGGGAAAGAAAGGCATTCTAAACATGCCTGGGTTCCCTGCCTGATCTTCTCCAGGTGCCCCGCCCCTGCCCTTTGTCAGGGGGTGTGGCAAGTATGCAAATGAGCACCCGCACCTCTTCTTCTATGAAATGACCCCTGCAGCTAGTATTTACTCCCAGAGTCTGGCTAGTGGTAGGTGGCAGTGTCCTTCCGAGCCAGTGCTGAAAAATAATATCAGTGTTTCCCCTTGGCCTCTCTGTGCTGTGATCTCAGAACCCTTCGGCTCAAACCTAACAATGCGCTTGCAATGCCTCTCCCTTGTGTTGGCTGGGCCGTGTGCTTGATAGGATTACGGGTTACCTCCCACTTAGGCTCTCGGAGGTCCCTGGCCCCTTATGCAGCCCGCCCGCCCCCATGGCGTCTCAAAGCCTCTTTACCGAATCTCGCTCTGAGGCTGGCGGAACCATCAGATGTCAGCCTGCCAGAATATAATTCCTTGCCGCCATTTGACAGGGAGGTGATCCAGCCAGACATAATGGAAGAAATGGTGGTTTCATGTGTCATCAAGCACTTAAATCTGGTCGACGCACTCCAGTCCCTAATAAATTTCCAGTACCAGGAGGAGCACGCAGAGGAATACGACTTGCTTTGTAAAATTATGGGAGAGACCTTTAAGAAGCTAAATGCCATGGAAAGGCAGTTGCAGGTAAGACGACTCTAAAAATCCATTTCCTGTAGAGAAACGGACAAGATAGTTTAAAGCCTCACGCTCTCTCTCGCAGAAAGCTCTGTGTGCCAAGTACAGTCTGATTTTCCACTTTAGCTTTGGTCTAAGTAAGCTAATGGAGAGCGGCCCCTTTCACTTTGCTCTTGTCTTTTGGCCAGAGCGTCGCCGAGCTGGAGCAGAAATGGCAAAGTGAAGTGGAAGACGCCATGCACGGGAAACTGGAGAACAATGTCCCCTTTTTCTACGACTATCACTTCAACGAGGTGAGTGACATATATAGTGTCAATAAGACTTGAGGAAATCAGCTGATGCTCTTTTCTGAATTTCTCTTTTCTAAGTGCACTTTCTCCGTTCCTATAAAACATTGTGCCGGGTTTATTAGTGCCCAGAGATAAATTACATGCTCTTTAAAGCCAGCTGACTAACCCTTTGTTGGAAATAGGCTGATGATGATTTCAGGAACTCTGTCAGCATATGTTTAAGGACAGGGCAGTTTGAATGCATGTTGGGGTTTCTTCAGAAAGCACAACGGTAATGGGGCATGACCAGATTTTGAACAGGGCTGCTATTATTGGCTTTCAGAGAACTAGAAGGAGGCCCGGTTCTAGAGAATGCAAGACTTCCAGCACGTTCAGAACTTTTCTTTTGACTGAGTGGGGGGGGGGGATTTGTTCAGTCGCACAGTCGAGTCCGACTCTTCGCGACCCCATGGACCACATCATGCCAGGCCCTTCTGTCTTCCGGCATGCTCCGGAGTTTCCTTAATTTCATGTTCGTTGCCTCGATAACGCTGTCTAACCATCTCATCCTTTGCCGTCCCCTTCTTCTTTGACCTTCAGTTTTTCAGTCAGCATCAGGCTCTTCTCCAGTGAGTGCTCCCTTCTCATTTGGTGGCCAAAGTATTTGAGCTTCAGCTTCAGGATCTGGCCTTCCAGGGAATGGTCAGGGTTGATTTCTTTTTAGGATTGACTGATTTGATCTCCTTGCAGTCCGGGGGACTCTCAAGAGTCTTCTCCAGCACCATAATTTGAAAGCTTCTATTCTTCGGCACTCAGCCTTCCTTATGGTCCAACTCTTATGGGGGGGTCAACAGTGGGGGGGGCTTCTAGTGTCCTGGCCCCGCTGGTGGACCTCCTGATGGCACCTGGTATTTTTGGCCACTGTGTGACAGAGTGTTGGACTAGATGGGCCATTGGCCTGATCCAACATTGGCTTCTCTTATGTTCTTATGTTCTCGCATCCATACATTACTCCTGGGAATACTCCTCGCATCCATACATTACTCCTTGCTTTGACCATACAGACTTTTGGTGGCCGGGTGATGTCTCTACTTTTTATTATGCTGAATGGGAGACACGGCTTCAAATTTTTGGCCTCCAAAAACCTGCCTTGCTGGATCAGGCCCTCTAGGATTCATTTAGTCCAGCACTCTCGTCCCCACTAACAGTCAGCCAGATGCCTCTGGGATTTTCACAAGCAAGACATGAAGGTCATGGTTTCTCCCTGACACTTGGTGGTCTTCTACTTCTGAAGTTGGCAGTCTATTTTTAGCAGAACAAAGTTATTCAGTTTTTGGTGTGTTTTAACTCCGATGAAATACATTCAGATTGTTCATCCAGGAAGCCTGAATTTTGTAGACAAAATTAGGTGGATATGAATGACCAGTGCAGCATGTTTATTCTGGGATTCAGCCCAGAATGGTTTTTCCCCACCCCTAGCGAACATTGGCATGGAGTGGAATCAATTCATTTTATTTATTTGTTAACAATATTTTTGTCCTGCTTACTAACCTACAGAGAGTTTCTGTGTGCTATCATTCTGCCTAGAAACCTAATTAAAGGGTGGGGGCATGTTCTTAAGAACTTTCACTCTCTTCCAGATAGTAGATTTACGGCCTTGCAGTTTTGTGATCAATTGACTTACACACTTTTGAATCGTACCCTCAGTCCCTGTATGTCCTTTTGCCTTCTCTTTAGAGCAAAATGAAAGAACTGGAACTTCTGTGCTCAATGAAGGAGGTTTCTTTTGATGGAAGCGATCTTGAGAATATGGTTCTCTCCCTGAGGTTGGTGCCGTCATTGAATCTGATAGGGTTCCTCTCCCTTCTTTAGCTTGCTGTCTCTCGCTCTGACGTTTTCTGTAAATTTTGACTGCTCTCTGTGTGGATGTGTACAGTAAAGGTAAAGGTTTCCCATGCTCAAAGCCAGTCGAATCCGACTCTAGGGATGCGGTGCTCATCTTCGTTTCCAAGCCAAAGAGCCAGCGCTGTCCAAAGATGTTTCCATGGTCATGTGGCCGGCATGACTAGATGCCGAGGCGCACGGAATGCTGTTACCTTCCCACTGAAGCGGTACCTATTTATCTACTTGCAGTTTCTTGCTTTCGAACTGCTAGGTTGGCAGGAGCTGGGGCCAGAGACGGGAGCTCACTCCATCACGTGGCACTTGGGTCTCGAACTGCTGAAGTACCGACCTTCCAATCTGCAGTTCAGCGTCTTAACCACTTGAGCCACCGCAGCCCATGTGGATGTGTAGCCCCCAATTACTCTGTTCTTTTCCCACTGCATCCTGATACTTGAAAAACCTGGACTTGTCCCTTCCTCTTCATAGGGATTCCTGAAGATGTAATGAACATACAGTCTATCTAGGTTCTATTTTATCTGCTTTTAGAGAGAAGTTCTTCCAGGAAGTCAACTCCCTGCTACCAAAGCCTTCGCATCCCATGGCTAAAACAAAAGCGCTGGTTAAGAGCTTGATGAACCGAGCAGAACTATTGTTGCATGTCACTATTGCAGCACAGTCTGGGCTCACTAGGAGCATATCCGGGACCCCTGCAGAGACACCAGGTAAGGGTGGCAGCAAGAAGGAACGTGTGACCGATTGATAAGCATGTTTTAAGGCAAAAGGTGCTTGTAGGTTTGAGTTTGCAAATATTGCAAGCTCTTCAAAAGAAACCCAGGGAGAGAAGTAGGGAAGTGTGTTGGTCAATGCACAGGTGCCTAGCCCATTGCTACACTCTGTAGCTGGTGTCTTCGGTTCAAAATGAACCGCCATGAAAGCTTGTAGAGTGGATTTCTGCAGAGCTTGTCCCAGGGGGGATAAAAGGATACATTTAACCCGGCATGTATGTTCTCAACCCTCCCTGCAACACACTTAATTATGTGTCTCCTTCTCTTCATCCAAAGATCCCTTTTTTATATCCAGGGGTCAGCATATGCCACACCCCCTGACATCACTGGAAGTGTGTCAGAATGCAACACCCACCGCTCAAACTCCACTGGATTGTTTTGGATTGCTAGCTATGGGAGGGGGACGTGCAGATCTCGCAGAGGAGGGAGAGCTTGTACCTGAATAAAACTTGGTCTTAAAGGTGCCACTGGACTGTTTTGGACAGGGGGGCAGGGGGGGGCTCTGCAGCTTACCTGGCTGCTTCTTGCTCTAACTGAGGGCTGCTGGGAGCAGGGGGTGGGGCTTGTTGCATGTGCCCGTCTCCTGGGCTCTTTACTGCCGGAGCTCTGCTCCTGTGTGCTCCTGCAGGAAATGACCCCTGTGTATATCAGTCATGAAAAGCAGCCCATGCTGTATGTGTAGGTGGAGAGTCAAACTGAGGCCTACATGACTTACGGTTCTTATAGACAGATTCATGGAGGATAAATCTATCAGTGGCTACTAGCCCTGGTGGCTGAGGGGAACCTCCCCATTCAGAGGCAGTCAGCCTCTGAATCCCAGAGCCAGGGGGCGACATCAGGGGAAGGCCTCGGCCTCTCCACCCTGTTGTTGGCCCTCCAGAGGAACTGGTTGGCCCCTGTGTGAGATGGGATGTTGGACTAGATGGACCCCTCGTTTGATCCAGCAGGGGGGTCTTCTGATGTTCTTATGGTGGCTTTCTAAAATGTTGTCCTGGAGTGTCTAGAAGCCATTCATTGTTCTGTTCTCCTAACCCCGCAGCTTGCAAATCAGCCTCAGAAACAAAGGTGATTTCCCACACCGTCCGCCAGCCTGTCTTTCTCCGCAGTATGTCAGCACCATCGGACCTTGAAATGATCGCAAACGAAGATCTGGAGTTCACCAGGTCAAGCCAGAGGTATATGTGCTGGGGGTTTCGTCCCCTTTAAAGCACAGTCCGTGTTGAAACTCCACCTATCAGTACAACTAGCCTCTTCCAAATTCGATTTCTTTCCCCTCCTTTAGAAGGCGCCACGCTGCCAGTCACAGAAGCAGCTCCTTCACTCTCCTCCAGTCCCTGACCATCGAGGATAGCCGAGATAAGCCCACATACAGCGTCTTACTGGGGCAGTTGTTTGCTTTCATTGGAACGAATCCAGACCAGGCGGTAAGTCGTGTGTGTCCTCTTAAGGAGTCTAATCATAATGTCCAGGAGCACAGCAAGATTCCCGGTGAGTCAGCTTTTGAGGGTCAAGGCTCCCGTTGTTAGACACCTGACAAATGGAGCCGTGACCCACAGGAACGTACACTCAAAAAAATCTTGCCGGTCTGTCAGGTGCCACTGGCTCGTCTAATGCGGACTAATACGGCTACCCTCTGAAATATAACAATGGGAACAGGAGCATTATAAAGGGCAGGGATGTAGAACTCATGCCGGATCTGACGTAAATGAGACCTTGTCGGGTCGGGCCATGTGCAGAGGTCATTTCGGGGGGGATCGCAGTTCCCCCGGGTGAGGTACGGGGGGCAGGGCACATGACGAAGCCCCACCCCCTGCTTCCGGCCGCCCCACTTCCGGCCCTCATTCAGCCAGGAGGAGGCAGGAGAAGAGGGAGGGTAAGTTGCTTCCTCCCCGCCTCTCCCCCCCCCTGCCTGCCTGGGGCCAGGGAGGGCCTTCGCGGGGCTTCCTTGCACTCCCACCGGCCTTGCAGGTCCACCGCCGGGCCCCTCTGATGTCAGGGGTGTGGCATATGCTAATGAGTTATGCTAATGAGTTCCCCTAGCTCTTTTTCTACGAAACGACCCCTGGCCATGTGTGCCATAAAATGTAATGCCAGGTACTGGAGACAGAAACTGTATAAAGGACAGGAGCTGGTAAGCTCTGAGCTGGTGTATCCCTCACTGCAAGGCCCCATGGGCTGGGAGGGGGGTGCAGAGGAAAACCGACATAGGCAGACTGGAGAGGCAGCGGTGCAGCACTGGGCGGATGCCCCCATGATGCTTGACTGCTGCAGACGAGGTTGTTGTGCCATGCTGAAGCCACAGTGGGAGTGGCTCTGCACACACAGACCCCGCACTCCCTCCCTTGCATCAGTTGCTTGCGGGCCGCATAAGAGCCCTAGACGGGCCGGATCCGGCCCCTGGGCCTCATGTTTGACACCCCTGCTCTAAGCCGCGGAGTCTTGTGAGCAAAAATTCTGCTTTCTGAGCTACCAGCATTAAAGTTGTGAGCGAGCGATTTGGCTCCTGCACAAATTAGTTTGCTCTGGAGCCCTCCTCCCTGAGTGGAGACAAAAACGTGTGAGCCACAGGCCCAAAAAACTGTGAGCCAGCTCACACTAACTCAGCTTAGGGGGAACACTGCACTGGACTCAGATCTAGCTGTTCTGTTGCAGACCAACACAATATGAATCACTCTTCTCTCCTAGGTATCCAGCAGTAGTTTCCTGTTAGCTGCTCAGACCAGGTGGCGGCGCGGAAACACCAGGAAACAGGCCCTGGTGCATATGCGGGAGCTCCTGACGGCAGCCGTTCGTGTTGGTGGCGTGACGCATCTCGTGGGTCCAGTCACGATGGTACTTCAAGGGGGCCCACGGTTAGTTCCTCTTCAGAACTCAGTTTGAGGAAGGCTGAATTGTCTGCTAACTAGAACACGTTTCCTGAAAGGAAACAGGAAAGGGCAAAATTAGCTCTCTTCATTATGCGTGTACTTTGGACAGTTGAGAAGCACACTGTTGGCTTATGAGAGAGACAGTGTCAGAGGGAGAGCTTGACTGGTGGTTGGTTGAGCTGTCTTAAAATGCTTGGAGTGCACAAAGTCCGACAAATGTTATTAGAGGGGTTGCTTAATAGGTGGCCACTCTGTTGTGAGTGCTTTGCCTATAGGTACTACTAGTTTTCAACAGATCCACCATACAAAATTTTATTATTTCTTCCCTTTAGTTTTGACTGCCATGGCTTCTCCCAAGGAACTCTGGCAATTGTAATTTTGATGAAGTACAAATAATCCCCTCTTTAAACTACCTGCTTCATCTGGCCCCCAACAAATGAAGGGGGTTGCAGTATGACATCAACCAACACAATAGAACTACTGCAAATAGTGCAAATCATGCAAATTCTAATTTGTATTAATGCAACCATATTAAATCCAATCCATTGTACACTTATGTTTTACAAAAATAAGGACGTCACAAGATGAAATGAAGACGTCAGCAGATGAAACTGGACAAACTCCCCCGGAGTTAACATTCGTTTCGAGGTGTCTTTTTCATACATAAGACCTCATACAGCTGTGCATCCACATGAACACGAATCTTCCAAATTGGACTTTCCTTTGTTCCTATACGTTTTGAAGTTACTCACAAACAGCTCTTAGCCATAATATCAAAACCGGGCTGATCAGCCCGGTTTTGATATTATGGCTAAGAGCTGTTTGTGAGTAACTTCAAAACGTATAGGAACAAAGGAAAGTCCTCATCTGGCCCCCAGGCAAGATGAATTTCCCAGAGTTCCTCATTGTGTGTGTTCTCTATGCAGTCCCCACATGGGAACGCCACATGCCAACCACAGAATATTCTGTGGAGCTTTGTCCAAGTATGAGCTGCTTCCCTTCTTCTAATAGTTGTTTTTGCCTTCATACAGCATGAAGGGGTGTGTGTCATGCCTCATCCACTAGTTGTCCCTTAACTGTCACAGAGAGAAGATGTTTCTTGGAGCCTCTCAAGTTTTTTAAAAAAATAATGATAAAAGTGTACCTATGAGTGACAAAAATTTCCAGCAAAGGGACGCATCATCTCATCTGTTGAAAGAGAGGGCATATTTTGCTCTCTTGTCATGACCCCAAAAAAGCGTGCCCAGTGTAATGGCAGAATGGCTTAATTAGATGACCATGCCCTCTATTTCCTCTGTCTTGGGGAGGGGCGTGCCACATCACAGCAGCTTTTTGGGCAAAAGGTCCCTCTAAGCACCAACGCAGTTATACAACCCACTGCTCACTCAGATGGATATGCCTTGGATAGACATGCTAGGGTGTTATCAGTTCTGAGAACAGATCCCAAAAAACTTAAGGAACCAATGAGCTGGCTTCCCACTGTGAAAGCTGATAAGTTGCCTCACTATAGCCAATTGAAGCTGCTGGCTAAAAGGTGAAGACTTAAATGTACACATGAGATGCCATGTGATAAACCTAAATCAAAAGACAAGCCCCCTTCAGAGAGCAGCTTCCAAGCTATCAGAGGTTTGCTATTAAAATGCTCATGTGCCACTTTTCCTGTTTCGCTCAGTACAAATAAGCTGTGATCTTACCTCCCTCTCCTTTGCATCTTGCATTTCTTGCAAGGAGCTTGGGGGCTGCTTGTACTGGAGGTTTCCCTTGAGGGGCTTAGCTGTTTGATTCCTCCACAGAATTGAAGAGCTCACCTGCGGTGGGATGGTGGAACAGGTGCAAGAAGCCTTTGGAGAGACCATGACCTCGGTGGTGGCGCTCTGTGCCCGTTACCCCATCGCTTGTGCAAATAGCATTGGTCTGTTGTGCACCATTCCTTATACCAGGTAGGCATGCACCACTGAGGAAAAACAATTTCACGAAATTGATGAGCGGTAGGCTTAGAACAGATAAAAGGAAGTACTTCTTCACCCAAAGAGTAATTAACATGGGAATTCACTGCTGCAGGTAACAAGCATTAAAAAGAGGTGGTAGACCTCCCTTTACAAATCCAACAGAACAGCCTAATTCTGCTGTGTGTTTGGAGAATACTAATGCTCTCCTGCATAGGGTTTGCAGCCCTTGTCAAGTTTTATCTCCAGCTTTGACTGTTGGTTGTCCAGGATTTGGTGTCCACACAGCGATGGGGCTTCAACGTCCAAAACCTAATTTGAAAGATTAAAAACGATGACTTAGGAATCACTGCTGTATTATACAAGGGTTGGGGCAAGTGATGCACTGTATTCTTGGTGCTTGGGTGGGGGGGCAACAGTGGGAGGGCTTCCAGTGTCCTGGCCCCACTGCTGGACCTCCTGATGGCACCTGGTATTTTTGGCCACTGTGTGACAGAGTGTTGGACTAGATGGGCCATTGGCCTGATCCAACATTGGCTTCTCTTATGTTCTTAAGGCAGCAGAGCAAGGAATTACATTGGCAAGTGCTGTAAATGTGCCGTCTGGTGGCTTCTGGAGTGTGTGTGTGTGTGTGTGTGTGTGTGTGTGTGTGTGTGTGTGTGTGAATTGTTGCTGTGGCCCACTCCTTGTGCTTTCTTCTTGCGGGGCAGGAGCGAGGAGAAGTGCCTGGTGCGCAGCGGCCTGGTCCAGCTGATGGATCGGCTGTGCAGCTTAAGCAGCCAGACGGAATCCAGCTCCAACGAGAAACAGACGAAGAAGCAGAAGGTGGCCACCATGGCTTGGGCCGCTTTCCAAGTGCTCGCCAACCGGTGTGTTGAATGGGAAAAGGAAGAAGGTAAGGGGGGGACTGCGCGCTACTGTCGACCCCTGAGAGAGCAGAAGCGATGAGAGGTGCAGGGGAAAGAGATGGAACAACGTCTGGGATTGCGTTGCTAGTGGCACGCACGCATCAACCCAATGATGATCATGTGGCATCAGGCCCATAGCCAGGATTCTGTAATGGGGGGGGGGGTTTAAATAAGTCAGGGGGGGCACTGACATCACACACTATTTTTTAAAAAAAACCACTTTTGCAGCATTCACAACTCTGCCTGCCTGTGCAGGGAAGCAAGCCACCCTTGGGGAAGGGGTGGCGGTGGGGAGTCCTCCAGGTGGCCCAGAGAGTCAGGAGTCTGCTGGGTGGCCCACAGTGCCGGGGGACCTGAGGGCTGGTTGGAAGTCGGGGGGGCTTGGCAGGAAGTCAGGGGGCCAGGCCCCGAAGTGCCCCACTGTAGATACAGGCCTGTGTGGTGGTGTGTTTTAGACATGGCTGGTTAATTAGAATTCAAGAACTCTAGTGGAAGTCTTGGTTTTTCCCAGTAAGGGTCCTGGCTGGCTTGCTTCCAGCCCGGCTGGATGCTTGCTACTGGCCCGTTTCTTTTGGCCGTTCGGGAATACTTCAGTGTCTGTTTTATCTAGCAGGGTGGCCTAGATAAAAAAATCCAAAGGACGGGTACTTCTCTTTAGGTCATGAAGTTGTATGTCCGTGCCTCTTTTTCGCCTGGTGGCTTTCTGGAACTTCAGCAGTAGGTGTTGATGCTGGGGAATCTATCCTTAACCACCAGGGTCACTTCGTGTTTCTGTTCTGATGAGCTGGGGTAATATTTAGCATGCGTACCCCAACCAAAGTTGCAGTTTGAGGTCTTAAAGCTGAGCTAGCCTTTGTGGATGGTCACACGTCCTTCTGTGCAAATCGAGCCGTTCCCAGAAATGCTAATGTTTAGCAATGCGTTCAGATTTTCTTTAAAATTATTTTTGAAACAACAAGACAGCTTCCGCTTCAAAATGTTGTATTGTCAGCTGTTGTGTATCGTTGATGACTTCCCACTGTATTTCAGCTGGGTCCCATTGGTTGCTTTTGTGTTCCACTTGCAGGGGGGTCAACGGAGGCTGTGCACTCTGGCCTGGCCCGTCAAGTCTCCAGTCTTTTAACCAACCACTTGGCACGAGCCACTGAGTGCTGTGGCAACCAGGCAGCTGGAAATGATGCCCTGCAAGACGTCCTTAGCCTTCTGAACGACCTGTCAAGGTACGGCACGGTTCTGACCTGCTGTGGGGCTTTTAATTTATTTATTTGCTTCATCTTATAGTCCGCTTTTCTAGCTGAGAATTGGTTTGGTTTTAGCAACAGTAGCGATAGAATCTTTTAAAATACAGCTCTGAAATTCTGTTGCGAGGCATAAAACCAGAATGGATTTGGTTTTATTAACATTAGCAATAGGACCAGGGCCAGCCCGAGGTTTTTTTGCGTCCTATTATGGGGTTGCCAACCTCCCGGAGCATGCACCAGAGAGCCCTTCTCTCCGCCACTCATGCGCCCTCCCTTTCCGGCCTAGCGGCCCCTTTCCCAAGCCGGCCATCGGCTCCCCGCGCAGCCCGGCACTGACCTGTGTGCGTAGCCATGGAGAAAGCCAGCCAGGCCTGTGAGGGGCGAAGGCAAGGGAGCACGCGTAAGGCGGCGGCGTGGCCCGGCCTCCAGCTCCCTATTTCTTCGCCCCGGGAAAGAAGCGTCTCGCAACCAGCTGCCCTCCCCCCGACCGGACCAGACCTCCACCCTTGCCCGCAAGAGGCCCGTTCTGATCCGCCCCTTTTCTACTCCGCCTTCCTTTCCCAAGGTGGCTCAAGGAGTGGGGAGGGTGCGGCGGTAGCGTCAGCGGGAGGAAAGCGGCAGGTGGCTCGACCAGGTAGAGGGCGGCGGCGGGGCGGGGCAGCAGTCAGCGGGGTAGGGCAGCCAGGTGCGGGGCGGGCCCTTCGCGGCTGGGAGTAGCAGTGGCGTGCGGTCTTTTGGCGGGGGGGAAGAATGGCGCCCCATCCAGGGCCCGCTGCCCCATCAAGGGCCCGGCGCTCTAGGCGAATGCGTAGTTTGCCTAGCAGGTGAGCCGGCCCTGAATAAGACATTTTAACATACTGCTTTAAAATTCCATTGTGAGCCATAAAACAAGTTAAGTTTCAAGCAGCTGGCCCCAAATCCTTGTGTGTGGCAGAATCAAACATCCACACTTGTAGTTTGTCACATCTCTTCCACTTCTTAATATTCTGTAGCTGTACAAGGTCAATTCCCCCGCCCCAGTTCTGTCTCTCTCTTCTAACTCTTAGCCAAAAGGTTGTTGAGAGTGACACAGTAGCAGCAGGCAACAATTTAACACCCTTTTCTTTTTATCCAAGGCTGTGTATGTTGAATTTTTATCAAGTTGGTAACCATTTTTGTCCCTCATGGGGATGAAAATGGGGTAAGTTGCACTCTGACGTGCCCTGCAATGTTACTTTAAAAAAAAAGAAAAGAAAATTAATCAGGGTAAACCGTGCCCAACATCAGTTCACTATAGAGAGACCTCTTCTAAACTGGCGAGATATTTTGGCTCCTCAACCTAGATATCCTGTTGGATGTCTCTGGGGTTGCTAATTCCCCATATTTATGTCCTACCCTTCTTCCCAGGAGTCTGGGACAGTATATACACTCTGCCCTCACAACCACCCTGCAAGGCATGCCAGCTCAAAGGAGTGTAACTGGCCCTAGGCCTTCTGGCGAGCTTCATGAAGAGTGAGGGTCTGAGCCTCCGTTCCAGTCCTAGTGCTCTGCTGGCCCTCCTAAGTGCATTTGGAGTTAGCCATGTTTTCCTCTTCTAGGAGTCACATTGGCAAAGCCATCCTGAGCCAGCCGGCCTGCGTGTCCAAGCTCCTGTCCCTGCTCTTGGACCAGCGCCCCTCTCCGAAGCTGGTCCTCATCATCCTGCAACTCTGTCGTGCTGCTCTTCCGCTCATGAGTGTCGAGGACTGCGGGAATGTCGAACTGCCACCCTGGAGTTACTCTGTGCCCTCCCTGAACAGTGAGCAGGACGATCCCAGCGACCCAGCTTCCAAAATTGCCTCCCTGCTCTTAGCAAAACTGGCCGATTACGTGGTACCAGGTAGTGAAGGTTACCTTGTTGTGTTACCAGCTTGATCGTTTGAGAAACTAATCCATGTTGCTTGGGAATCCAGAACTGTATTTCACATTAATGTTTGAGAGTTCAAACTGCCGTCCCCACCCCCGCTTCTGATATCAGGAGTGTATCACCCCAGGGCTACAATGCTCACACTAGCTCTGTATTGCCTTCTGCAGTGAAGTTAAGGAGCTGGTCATCACTCCAACCAAACAACCTGGGCCCAGCTTTTCCAATAGGGCCTCCATCCACATGTTGCAGCATGGCCTTTAAGGCTGACTACAAGTCCCCTGCTTAGCAGACCATGTGTGTGCCATTAGGACTCCAGAGGTGCTACTGGAGGTGTTTTTGGTGGATGTCCCTCTCCCTTCCCTTGGAGACTCCCTAAGACCCAGATCCAGGTGTTAACCAGAAGCACTGTAAGGCGGGGTGTCGAACTCATTTGTTATGAGGGCCAGATCTGACATAAATGAGACCTTGTTGGGCCGGGCCACGCGTGCCATAAAAGGTAATGCCAGGTAGCGGAGATATAAACTTTAGAAAGGACACAAACACAAAGGGTTTTTTTTAACTTAAAATAAAAACATGCCTGAAACATGAGCACTCTTGCAGAATTTTGTTTATTTCACAGTGTCTGATAACTGACACCTCTTGCTCTGAATGATTGCATCAAAATGTCTGTGCTGTTGCAATCTTGAGTATACTGTTCAGGTGTGTATCTGTAAGATGCAAACCTACAATGACGCAGCAGCAGCAGCAGAACTGGAAGAAGAAGCAGAAGACAGCCAGTTCCACTGCAGGCCTGATAGAAGCCCTCCGGGGGCCTCATCTGGCCCCCGGGCTGCATGCTTGACATCCCTGCTTTAAGGCCTTCTTATTCAGATTGGCTTTGGTGACTGGGGGTATTGTATGATGCTGCAGGGTTGGAATCGATCAGGGTATTGAGGGAGATTGTGATTAACATGCTGCTGCTCACCCTGACCTGGATGGCAAAGGCTAGCCCGATCACATCAGATCTCAGAAGCTAAGCAGGCTTGGCCCCGGTTAGTTCAGGGTCGCTGTGCAGAGGCAGGCAATGGCAAACCACCTCTGAATGTCTCTTGCCTTGAAAATCCAGTGGAGTCACCTGAAGTTGGCTGCGACTCGATGGTGCTTCCCAGCACCACTCACCCTGAACCTCTGGACTAGGGAGAGTTACGGATTGGATCAGTTTATGTTCTTCCTGTAAACGTCTACTGTACATTTAGGTATTGTTTTGGAGCTTATTTTTTTCTCCCCGCTTTTGCAGGATGTCAGACAGTTCTTTCTCCAACTGCTTCTGAACCTGATACCTCTCTGACAAAAGCCAGTTCAAAAAGCTCCCTTAAAGGGGACAAAGATCCAGGAGAAGAAAGTGAGGCTGTGGACGGTAAACTTTCCATTTTTATTCATAAGCGGGAAGACCAGTCATCTCATGAAGTCCTTCAGCCATTGCTAAGGTAACCCTGCCCCAACGGATGTAATTAGAAACCTGTATTGGGGCATCCGCATTTACCCTGTGCTGTATCCTTCCCTTTATAGTAGCTCAGAAGGCCGTCCATTTAGACTTGGAACAGGAGCTAATATGGAGAAGGTGGTTAAGATGGATCGAGACATGACTAAAGTAAGTAGGCATTAATGAATATATGTTTGAATAGCTTAATCCCTTCCTCAGAGACCCAAAAGGAGAAATCTGAACATCCTATATCTAGAAGATTGGCTTTTGGCTAATCAGTGCTTTGTTCAGTTGTGTTATTTCTGCTCCACCTTCTTGGCCAGGAGGCTCCAAGGCTGTTTACAAAAAGTAATTCAACCAAGATAAAAACATTTAATTACTAGTATTAAAATCAGGGAATCAAATTGAACCTGCTTCAGAGAGGTCTGTCACCTTGGTTCAAGTTCAAGGCAACCCAGAAATGTGTTCACGGTCAGTTTCAGTTCCAGTTCACAGAAAAAAGACAATCTGAACCAGCTTCATATTTGGTTTGACTCCCTGGTTAAAATAGCAACCACCAACCTAGTGCCAATATAACCGGAGCAAATAACGACCAAAAGAAAACCTAACAGTATCGCAACAGAAAATGATCAACTAATAGGTGGTTGTTTTTTACACTGGCTATTGCTTTGGCATGCAGGATGGGTCAGATTCAAGCATAAGCAAAACAGTACCACTGATATATAAGCAGAAGTCGTCCTACAGGTATTAAAAGCTGGAGAACAATTCTAAGGAGATATTTAAGAAGGCTGGCCAAAACATGATGGAACAAATTTAGCAGGAAGCCAGGGTGAACAAAATAAGGCTGCAGCTGGCATAAAAAAACCTGGCTTGGTAGCTGCTGTTAGCTTTGCAGGAGGTATTCCATAGAATACTTTTAGTCTACAGAAATAACAAATATTTTCTTAATTCTGACTTGGTCAGTGCAGACCCACCATGTAAAGAGCTGCAAAGGCATTTCTGTCTTTTTCAGAGTGGCTCCTGTGAAGTTATCACTGAAGAGGCAGCTGCGGCTCTGCGGAAGGCAACCAAGTGGGCGCAGTCTGGATTAATCGTGAGTGTGGGACCGCCTGTAGAGACTGTCAATCCCGAAAGCAGCAGTGGCCTGTCAACCGGCGACAAAAAGAAAACAGCACAAACCTCCATTTGCAGGGAGCGGAATTCAGAGCTCGCCAGGTCAGAAACCTCTGCTTGACTTCCCAATACTTGGAATGTGGTCATGTGGCTGTGCTGGTTCACATGCTAGAAACTGAATCAAGGGTTCACTCAGCAGAGTGGACATTGTTTTGTAATGTTTAAAAGCAGTGAGGATAGTGTTACCCAAAGAGGCAGTCTCCAATTAAATTGGGGGAATTAGCTAAAGGAGACAGATACAGAGGTGGGTAACTGGGATTCTCCATCTATATATACCAGGATTTTTCCCCTTAAGAGAATTTTCAAATAAACCAGGCAGATGTTCAACCGGAAAGGTTTTTATTAAAAAGAGAAATAATAAAAATGCACACACAAGGGCTAAGAGAAACAAAGGGAGGAAAGGGGAAAAGCGATTTTAGGGAAGGGTGATTATTACCTATCTTGAAGAGGTCCATGGAAGCAGCAAATTGAAGAGCAAAGTGGCCAGTGTTTTGAGAAGTGAGAGAGAAAAGATGTGGGGATGGATCCAAGGTGCACACACACACTGCTGGGGCAGAAGGTTGGTCTAGTTATAGGACAAAGTGACCCTCAGGCAAAGATGACATGTTTGCCAGAAAACAAGGGCTAAATGGCTGACCCGATGGTAGACAAAAAGAGTGTGAAGGTTTGATGGCTCCACAAGTACTAGATGGGAAGAGCAATCAGGGAGGTAAATAGATTTAAGTGTCAGTTGCCGCGTAATCAAGGGGTAATGTGTGAGGCTGGGATGACGATGGGATTATGCCAAGTGAATCAATGGGTCCTGGGTGACCCATTGTTCTAAAGTCATGTATCTCTCCAGGGCAAGGAGGGGGTAGTAGCCAGCCATCCGCTTCTGACTCTCATTTTGAAATTGTTTTCCCAGGCTAATGCCTGGCTGGCATCCATCTTGGTCCATTTTGGCCCAAGCAGTGCCCTGCACTAAGATATCAAGGTGAAGTATGGAGAGGTGTTTCCGCCTCTATAAGCTACAAACTGCCCCTCTGCAAGAGGAGGGGTCTGACAGCTAACAATAGTGGCAGGCAAGTGTCAGAATCCTGGTTAAATCAGTTCTCAACCCCGCTCACTTTGAAGAAAGTTTAGTTTATTGAGGTGTTGAAGAATACCATACTGAACACAAGCTTTGTTAGGACTGAAGGTGAAAGCGTGGAGTTTGCAGATATATTGTGTTCAAGCAAAGGCACTAAAGATCAGGACCCAATCACCCCATGGCATTTGCCCGCCAGAAACAACAGTCAACTACTCCCCCCCCCCCCCCCCCCACTAAGCACGTACCCCTCTTACAGAAATAAAGCAAAACAACAGGTTTCTGCAACACATCAAAGCATTTAGGAAAACCCCTCTTCCCCTCCTCCTTCCTCTATGGCAGGTGAACCATAAAATGCATACTGAGCCCGACAGCAAGTAATCCAGGTCATATAGGAGAAACCGGGATCAAATAACTCCCTGCCTGCCACACACACGTCCTCCCGCCATCCTGTTTACTGCATTTGTGCATCTTGGGTTCAGCCTCAGAAGTTCCCTGACTGGGTGGGGCCAGTATTGGTTCTGTAAACAGTCTTTATGTGTGTGATGTCAGAAGCACTTTAAACCCGGTGTAAGTCTCAGGCCGTTATGATTTGGGCTGTCATCTCCCCAAGGCTGTGGTGCCCTCCCAAGTTCTACAGAGATGCCTCTTCACACTAGCTGATGGATTTTTTCTTTGGGCTTCTCATGTTTTCCCATGGGTGGCTTAGCAAGGGCTGTGTAGTAGGCGCTTCACACTTCCAGGTCGTTTGAATACACTGCCCAGCAGTCTCCGCCTCTTTGTTCAGAACTGCCTAGAGCCTCTGCCTTTCTCGACAGGACTGACCCCGTGCGGCCTTTCATTAGTGGCCATGTGGCTAACAGCATGGCAGCAGAAGTGATTGCATTGCTTCACAGCTTGCTGATGGCTCCAGAATCCAATGCCGCCCAGATATGGACAACCACCGCCGAGAAAGTAAGCAAGGGGAGGACGCCTGGAATGCTGTTTGGTGTCGTGGTGAAGTGGGTGGACTCTAATCTGGGAGAACCGGGTTTGATTCTCCGCTCCTCCACTTGCAGCTGCTGGGCGACCTTGGGCAAGCCATAAAACGCCCGGAGAGACTAAAGCAGAATAAAATGCCCCCAATGGCTGATGCAAACCTAGCAAATAAAACACTCAGTATATGTAGTCTGATGGTCTGTCACAATTTAAGTCATTGCATTTACTAATGTGTCATTTAAAAATCCCCCCCTAGGTTCTGTCGCGTGCTCTGATGTACATCCCTCAGCTTGGAAAATATGCCGAAAGCATCCTGGAGAACGGGAGCAGCAGCGGGAGGAAGCTGGCCAAACTTCAAAGGATTGCCCGCCAGGCAATAGCTGCTCTCTGTGCTCTTGGCGGCTTCAAAGAGACCATCAAGATCGGCTCTGAAGTGCAGGTGACTGGCCGGGCCTTTTCGTCTCCCCCTCCACGCATCCTGCCGATGGCAGCCCTTGTGCTTTGTTGCAGGATGCTCACTGAGCGTTTCTGTACGGCACGTTTATAGTGTTCGAAACGCTGCCCATCCTTTGGGTTATAATCCTTACAGGGTAGGCCAGTATTATTACACATGGGCAAGGAGGCTAAAGCCGAGCATGGCTTGCCTAAGGCCATTTAGTGAGTTCAGAGCAAGGCCGAGATTCGAACCAGGAGCTTCCCAATTCATCTCTCAGTGTTGCGGCCTTTAGGCTGCACTTGCTTTGGGAGCACCTCACAGTGTGAATGTTCTAGGTGAGACTTCTTACCTTCTGCAGAGAAACCCCTAATCCTGCAAATGAGAAACCAAAATTAGGTGATAATGATACATACAAATATATGTGGCCATAGTTAGGGTAGTAAAATGGTGACTAGCACCGAATTGTAAGCCGCTCAGAGACCCCCTGACAAGGGGTTCGAGCGGGATATAAAGTTGAACGTATAAATAAATAAATATAAATAAATAAATACCTTTATCTGATTTGTCTGTTGTGTATAACTTGCAGTGTTTTGTGCCGTTTACAGAACTGGCTCTTCCTAAATTTGGAATCTATTATAATGTGTTTTACTAAGTATGTTGTCGAAGGCTTTCACAGCCGGAGTTCATTAGCTGTTGTAGGTTTTTCGGGCTGCATGGCCGTGGGCATTGTAGTACCTGACGTTTCACCAGCAGCTGTGACTGGCATCCTCAGAGGTGTAACACAGAAAGATGGAGTACTCTCTGTGTCACTATGAGAAGAAAAATGGTAGGCAGGTAATTTATTATATCTACTCAGGAAGGTGGGGTAGGGCTGAGTCATTATCTTGTAGGAGTTCCCCAGGCTGTGACATACTAATAGAGGAACTTTCCTGATGAGGTAATTGGATGTGTTGTCCAGCCTTTCAGTGTCTTCAAATAAGATACTGTGTCCTGTTTGAGTTAGGCTATGTTCAGCCACTGCTGATTTTTCAGGTTGGCCCAGTCTGCAGTGTCTTTCATGTTCACATCCAGTTACCAGGTCAGATTACACAAGGAAGCCATTGAAATTCATAAACATAAACACAAATTTCAACAGGAAAGGAGAGAGTTTAAAAATAAATAGGGCATGGTTTCCTGTCCTGAAAAACACACAATGCTCTACATCTTACAATAGCACTATAGATAAGATTAGAATTTCAACAGCCAATCCCTATGCAAAAGAACCTCCTCAGGAAAGCTCCTCCATTGCATGTCACAGCCTGGGGAACTCCACTTTTTTTCTCACCTTGACACAGAGAATATTCCATCTTTCTGTGTTATACCTCTGAGGATGCCAGTCACAGCTGCTGGCGAAACATCAGGTCCTACAATGCCAAGACCACGGCCATACAGCCTGGAGAATCTACAACGACTAATGTTTTGTTAAGATTCGCTTGTCATGGATTAGCTTGACAGGGCCAAACTAGGTGGGATTTTTTTTTTGCTTAATTGGATCTAGATTCTCCTGACCCAACTTTCATCCCCCTCAGTCACACATCAGCTGCTGGGGTCTCGTTTCCCAAGCACCACTGAGGACCAGTTTGGTCAGGATCATGGTGGGTGGGGGTGGGGTGGGCTTCAGCCTTCCTCCCCACAGATGTGCTGATTTCCTAACCCTGAAGCCCATTCTCCTCCCCTGCCGAAGCTCTCACCCAAATCAGGCCCCTGCAGAGCTTGGAAAATCAGTTCCCAGCAGCTGACATCTGGCTCAGGGGAGCGTGTGTTGGGTTAGGAACGCCCACACCTGCCTAGGGGGGAAAGTATCAGCCAGTTTTGCCCTGAGTGAAGAAATCTAGAACTCCTGAGTTATGTCAGGAAGCCACAATGCAGTGATGGCCAGTGTTCCCTCTAAGCTGAGTCAGTGCGAGCTAGCTCACAGTTTTTAGCCTCTGGCTCACACGTGTTTGTCTTGGCTCAGGAAGGATGGCTCCAGAGCAAACTAACTTATTCAGCAGCAAAGTTGCCCGCTCACAACTTTAGTGCCAGTAGCTCACCAAGTAGAATTTTTTGCTCACAAGACTCCACAGCTTAGAGCAGGGGTGTCAAACATGCGGCCCGGGGGCCAGATGAGGCCCCCGGAGGGCTTCCATGGAACCGGCCATCTCCTGCTTCTAGTTCTGCTGCTGCTGCTGCATCATCGCTTGCTTCACCAGACTCTCTTAATCGCTCAGTCATTTCATGTTTTAACCTGGGTCCTAGACTCAGAACTCTGAGCATGAGATTTCTGTGGTGAATGTCAATAAATCAAAAGTAGGTTTGCAGCTTACAGAGTTAATGTTTTAAGTATGTTCTTATTTTAAGTAAAAAACCCCAAAACCTTTGTGTTTGTGTCCTTTATAAAGTTTATATCTCCGCTACCCGGCATTCTTTTATGACACACATAGCCCGGCCCAACAAGGTCTCATTTAGGTTAGATCTGGCCCTCATAACAAATGAGCTTGACACCCCTGGCTTAGAGGGAGCATTGGTGATGGCAAAAGGACACACGTGGCAGTTGAGAGACTATGACCAGAGGAGAGGAGGAGGGGTCAGGCTGGTTTGGAGGGCTGGGGGGCACACGGTGGAGCTGAACGCCCAAAGTGGGGCTTTGCTAGTCTCAGCTGCAGCTGGCTTTAGCCGAATTTATGGCTTCCAACTGAAGTTCAAAATCTGTGTCTTGGCAGGGATCATTTTTTTCCATGGAGGAGGGGGAATGCATGGGGGCAAGATGGCTTGCGTTTTCTCCTGTCCCTCTCTTCCGTGTTTGTTATGACATCATCAGCATTGAGTTTGAAGTCCCATGTTCATCAGGGAGCCAGTCTGGTTTAGTGGTTAAGTGGGCGGACTCTAATCTGGGAGAACCGGGTTTGATTCCCCACTCCTCCACTTGCACCTGCTGGATGACCTTGGGCAAACCATAGTTCTGTCAGAGCTATTCTCTCAAGGACAGCTCTGGAAAGCGCTCTCTCAGCCCCACCTACCTCACAGGGTGTCTGTTGTGGGGAGGGGAAGGGAAAGGAGTTTGTAAGCCGCTCTGAGACTCCTTTGGGTAGTGAAGGGCGGGGTATAAATCCAATCTCTTCTTCTTTTCTTCATTTGTTATTGTTCTCTTCTCTCTGTGTGTCTCTCTCCCCTCCCTCATATATTTAGGTTTTAGGTAGGGGGATAGCTGGAAGCATTGGAGTGGTGGCATCGATTAACGAACAGGAAGGTATAGCAACGGTCAAATTCCCACCGACCAGTATAGACGGTAGAAAGACCTCCCAGGCATCAGACATTTTAACTATTCCATTATCTAGGCTCTGTGTTCCGAGATCAGAGGTAAGGTCATCTTGAAATCCAACATCAAGTGTAATGGCAATTTGTTACGTTAAAGCTAAGACGAATATTACGAGCACTGTGCAAAAGGGGCCAGTTTATGTTTTTATTAAAGCTGACTTGGGGGATTTGGAGTACTCTGTAACACAGACAGTTTGAAAGTTGTGTCCAAGTTACAGAATGGACAGCTCTGCAGTTTGAATATGTTCTGTAGCTTTTTGGTTTGTCGTTTTTAATTTTTGTCTGTGGGGTGTGTGTGTGTGTGTAAAAGACAACAATATATATATATATATATATATAACTCCAGGTAATTCCCTCATTTCCTAGAAACTAACGACTTGAATTTAACTTTTTACCGTGCCCCCCTCCACCACCATCAGGCATTGCCTCTCCATAAACTGTCCATTACTGAGAAGGTAGTACAGGCAGTCCAGTCCATGTTGCTTCCTCAGGAGGGAAGTCTATCTATTCATACCTCACTTCCTGCAACAGGAGATGGCTCAACTCCAGTAATGGCAGTGGTCCGACTCCTTGCGGAAATCAGAACCAGGTGAGTTGATATTTTGGTTGTACCTGAGCAGTGGGGGAGGGGAGGCCAGGTCTGAGTGCCGGGCGCGCTTTGTTCGGTGGGTCCACAGTGCCATCTGAGGGGACAATTGAGTTAAGGTGAAGACAGACATAACACTAGAACGGGGCTTACTGCAGGGGCCTGCCAACTTCCTCCCAGTTTCACAACTGGAATGACAGATCGGCCTGCCAGCAAATTGAAACACTGATGTAGCCGTCAGCCCCGCCCCATACTTCGGGCATCCTACCGGCTTGTTTCTAAGTGAAGATTCACGTCTTTATCTATCCATAGGCATATGTACGGTTATTTTTAAAAGTGCAAGGGCAGGTCTGAGGGCCCAAGGTGGTTCTTGGTGACTTGAGGGGCCAGCCAATCAGCAGCTGGCTTCTGCTTTAAAGTTGCACATTCTCCCACACCCCCAATCGTTTCACTCTGTAGAGGGAGAGGTACATTTTGTGGAACAAATTAAGCCAGGGCACCCCCACTGCGCTTGATATACGTTATGTCTGTCTTCACCTTGAAAGCAGGTAGCAGTGATCGGTAAACACGTCTCCTCGGCCAGTATGGTATGGCCACCCTGAAAAGACTGGCGGCAGGCCAGGCCATGCATGTCCATGTGAGGCATGGCACTGGCTGAATTGCAACATCTTAAACCAACTTATGATGTGAGGATTCCTGGCGCTGCAGAGGTGTGAGGAAAGGGCAGCTTCAGCTGATGCAGCTATGACAGGCCATCTGCCATGGGAAACAAACTCTTTAGAGCAGGGGTGTCAAACATGTGGCCTAGGGGCCAGATCAGGCCCCCGGAGGGCTTCCATCAGGCCCGCAGTGGAACTGGCTGTCTTCTGCTTCTTCTTCCAGTTCTGCTGCTGCTGCGTTATCGTAGTTTTGCAGCTTACAGAGACACACCTGAACAGCATACTCAAGATTGCAACAGCACAGACATTTTGACGCAATAATTCAGAGCGAGAAGTGTCAGTTACCAGACACTGTTAAATAAACAAAACATTGCAAGAGTGCTAAATGTTTTAAGCATGTTTTTATTTTAAGTAAAAAAGAAACCCTTTGTGTTTGTGTCCTTTATAAAGTTTCTATCTCCGCTACCTGGCGTTGCATTTTATGACACACACGGGGCCCGGCCCAACAAGGTCTCATTTATGGCAGATCAGGCCCTCATAACAAAGGAGTTCGACACCCCTGCTTTAGAGTTCCAACTGTGTGGGAGCCACGGGCAAGAAGAATGTTGAAGTGGCCCTCCTATGTGAGCAGGCCCAGTCATGTGGGACTTTTCCATGCAATCAGCCCCACAATGGGAAGATGTGTGTGCTCCTCTTAGTCCGTGCCCACACAGCCTGGGATGTTGAAATGTTCTGCCAGGTGTTAGGGTTGCCTGCCACTAAGTAGTTCCTTTGTGGCTGGGAAAACATTGAAAGGGTCCTGCAGTGATTGCCTGATAGAGCAATTAATGCCCCAGGGCAAAGCTCTGATGCACAGAAGCAGCATCAAGCTACGATAATCAAGATGCCTGATGGAAGCGTGTTAGAGTGAAAACTGGTGGCTTGGTGGCACTGTGCATCATTCAAGGACAAGGTGGACTGTACCATATGGTCCGGTGCAGATGTTGGCCGGGAGTTTATCTCCCGCCCCCAGAGGCCAGTAAGGCTTGCTTCCTGCCTTGCAAGTGGGGAACTTGCCTTAACCCTTGTTCTCCGGACGCAGCTGAAGAGCCTAACTGTGTATCTGAAAATGCCCACTTCAGAGCATGGCGGCATGTCCTGGCTTGTAGCCATTCTGAAGCCTGCATTTGTTATTCAGAGGTGATGCTTCAGCACAGTTCAGGAAAACAAACTGAGGCTAAATGCTCCATCTGCCGGAGTGCCTGTGTGTGATAAGAACGGACAGGAACAGCGAGTGGCTTCATTCACCAGACTCTGACTTGCATGGCAGTGGTCAGTTGCTTGAAGGCATAGGCTTGGCCAACTCAGCAGCCAGAGGGTAGGAAGTCCTTTGCCTAGAACAGGGGTGTCAAACATGCGGCCCAGGGGCCAGATCAGGCCCCCGGAGGGCTTCTATCAGGTCCGCAATAGAACTGGCTGTCTTCTTCTTCTTCTTCTTCCAGTTCTGCTGCTGTGTCATCTTAAGTTTGCAGTTTACAGATACACCCCTGAACAGCATACTCAGGATTGCAACAGCACAGACATTTTGATGCAATAATTCAGAGCGAGAGGTGTCAGTTATCAGACACGGTTAGATAAACAAAACATTGCAAGAGCGCTAAATGTTTTAAGCACGTTTTTATTTTAGGTATTAAAAAATGAAACCCTTTGTGTTTGTGTGCTTTATAAAGTTTATATCTCCGCTACCTGGCATTACATTTTATGACCCACACGGCCCCGGCCCAACAAGGTCCTATTTATGTCAGATCCGTCCCTCATAACAAATGAGTTTGACACCCCTGGCCTAGAAGCTTGTTCCCACAAGCAGTGCCGTCTGTATAGCCTTGCTGGATGTTCCGGTCTGGTTTTAAAATACTTGCTCACCTTTGCCTCCCCTCCTCCTCGCCAGAGCATGCCTGGTGATGGCACAGCTGTTGGAAGACAGTTCCTTCTGCGAAGAGTTCATCCAGCAGTGCCCAGCCGCTGTGGAGGTCCTTAACCTGGTGGCCCAGGAGTGCAGCCCTGGTAATGACTTGGTCTTGTTTGCACAGCTAAGGTAGCGACGGGCTTGAACGACGATGCGTTCAAGGAAGAAGTAAGGCAGTTCAGCATGTGGCTTGCCCTTGCAGTTTGGATGGGGGAGAAGACAAGAGGTCAACAGGGAGCTGTAAAATAAAAGGAATAAGGAACTTCAGAGTTCAGTGGCCCTAACCTGGAACGCCCAGGCTCGCCCAATCTCGTCAGGTCTCGGAAGCTAAGCAGGATCGGCCCTGGTTAGTATTTGGATGGGAGACCTCCAAGGAATACCAGGGCTGTGATGCAGAGGCAGGCAGTGGCAAGCCACCTCTGAACGTTTCTTGCCTTGAGAACCCCATGCCAGAGTCGGCTGTAACTTGACAGCGGTTACCACCACCACCACCACATAGTTCAACATATGCAATAAACGTGATCTTTCCTAATCTTATCACCAATACCTTCCTTTCTTAACAGTCTCGTTTCATAAACACTTTACTTACTCTAGCTTAGCCCAGCCTCAAAAGATCTTAACACACGCTGTCTCTTCATTCTGAAGCTCTCTCCAATAGATGCATCTTCCCCCCCTCAATCACATCCTCTCATCCATTCTTACTTTTAAAACCTTTAAACCACCTATCAAGAATTATGTACACAATCGCAACCTTTTATGGCATTATCTTGGTCTCACATGCATTATGTCACATGCATATAAATCAATAAACAATAATATTAAAGTATTGCTAGCTAAGTAAATCACTGGTGCATTTCTGGGGTTGCCTCCTCCCTCTTGCAGCTGACAGGAGCTTCCTGGATTCTTTTTGACTGCTGGAGGGGCAGGGATACATGATTGCTAATTGGCTGCTATTTGTTGCTTTTACACAAAAAACCAATAGCTTGTTTCAGTGGTAGGCAACTAGTCTAGCTTCCAGAGAAAAGGCTGATTGGGAGAAAGGGTTGGACTTTGACTGGAGAGACACGGATTCCAATCCCCATTCAGTTCCGAATCTGGCAGAGTAACCTCAATCCACTCTCTCTCTCAGCCTCACCTGCCTCCCAGGGTTGCTATGAAGATAAAAGAGAAGGGGGAAGGGGGGGGGGGAGGGACCATGCATACCAGCCTGAGCTCCTGAGAGAATGAGCAGAATGCAAATAAATCAAGTTCCTCTTTGAAGCAGCGTATTTCAACTTTTCCTCTTTTAGCTAAGATGCATTTTGTGAAGTCTGCAGAACCAAGGGCTTCTGATGTTTGATTGCTCTTGGGGGAGGTTAAAAAGGCGTGCTGGGTGACTTTGAAAGTCCTGCCGATACCTCTGCAGTCTTTGTGATGGGCTTTGTTTGCCACGTCCTAGGGGAGCGGCTGCTGGTAGTAGAAGTGCAGTGTGAAAAGCTAAGGATGCTGTACCGTGATAGCGCTCGTCCCCCCCCTCCACCCCTCCAGGCTGATCGAAGACAGGTAAATATGAAAGCAAAGGCAGAATAACAACTAGGTGTGTGCAGGGGGAAAAAATTTTTTCCCCAGATTCGGGTATAATAAAGCCGGTTTTTTTTCAGAATTCCCCAATATTCTATTGGTATTCTATTGGTACCCGAAATTTTTCGGTATTTCCGAAAATTTTCAGCTCCATTATATCCCATGGGCCCATTGTAGTCAATGGCAAAAATCTTCTAACAAGTATTCAGGGGGTTGGGGAGAGGGGGTTTGAGGTAGAGGCACCAAATTTGTACTGTAGCTGCTGGAGCCTCTCCCCAAAACACCCCCCAAGTTTGGAAAAGATTAGACCAGGGGGTCCAATTCTAGGGGCATCTAAAGAGGGTGCTCCCAATCCTCCATTGTTTCCTATGGGGATGGGGGAAAGGCAGGCAGCAGAGTCTCCCAGAGAAAGCCAATCCCCCCCCCCCCGAATATTTTCAGGGTTTTTTTGGCATTCAGTATTTGGTAGCCAAATCAGCTTAGGGGATCTGATTCAGTATGCCAAATACCCGAAAAATACCAAAAAAGGTTTTTTCGGGGTTTTTTCCAGTTCAGCTTTACCGAATGCACACTCCTAATAACAACCTGCCTCTTCCTCAGACTGCTTTTGGGTCAGGGGAGGGCAGTGGTCCGGCTCTGTCATGTGGGACGCATCATGCCAGAATGCTTTAAGTATCCCGTTCCTAGCTGTCTTCTGCCCAGGGTGCATTTTAGAAGAGCACCAGCCCTTGTATTTTATAGGCAAGAAATCTAGCATCCACAGTACAGTTGTTTAGAATTAAAGCAGACCCTTTTCGTGTTGACTCAGCCTAAGGAAATCACCTGGAGCCCTTCTCGGGTCTTCCCGCCAGTGCGTGCCTGCATGTTCTCCTCGCACCTCACAGCTGTGACCTTCCTTGCGGATCCCAGTGCTGGCGGAGGGCTGCCCCGTGGCACCTTCATCTATGCTACATCATGTGTTCCAGTACAGGTGAGAGTTCACCGTTTGTGGATGTGTACTAGCCCATTCCAGAAGGTTCCTTCTTTGTCTACATGAACCTTGTTTTTGATAGGCTCCGTCATTCTACTGGGAGATAGAGATTGTGTCCTACGGAGATACGGATGACGACACAGGTCCAATAGTATCTTTTGGGTTTGCTACAGAAGCAGAAAAACGAGATGGAGCTTGGACCAATCCTGTTGGCACCTGCCTCTTCCACAAGTACGTTGTAGTTATCTGCTGCTAACCTGGTGCTGTCAAAGCACCTTAAGAACAAGGCAACTGGTATTTCTGTTGCAGGATCCCCAAGGCAAAATAGACTAGCTAATCAGGTGGGCTTTGCTTCTACTGACCGTATAGGTGAAGTGCAGCATTTTGAGTTGCAGTGAGTCTTCTCCATTCCCCTTCAGTGGTCAGCCTCTCCCATCAGGTTCTGCCTCTTCCTTGGGCATGGTTGGGCTTTCAGGGGGGATAAGAATGACCCTCCTGCTCCAGCCTACACAGATACCACAGAACAAGAGACAGTGTCTGCTAATGCTGGTCTGACAGTGGACCTTCAGTAGCAGAGAAAAGACGTCTGCTTTTTATTTTCAAGATTTTTTCCTTTAAAATAAACACGTGCATCTTGGGGCAAAGGAAAGATCTTGGTTAAGGAAAAGCTCTGTGAAACTTAAAAACTTATTATCCTACTTGGGCCCAGGATTTGGGATCCCTCACACAAGACAAAGCGTTATCCAAGCCAGTTTGGATCTTCCATTTCTGTAAAGTGTTGGGTACATCTTAGGCCTCAGCAAAGACATCTTTAGAATGAGAGACAGTAACAAAGAACCCAGGTTTTTTGCAGGCTGCCAATGCTGTAATGAAAGATTAAGCTGATGGTGTCTCCTGGCATCCAGCCAGTTAATGCTTTGCTTCTTCCCTCTCAACTTTTCAGCAACGGGCGAGCCGTTCATTACAATGGCTCTAGTTTACTGCAGTGGAAGAGTGTGCGACTGGATGTGACCCTCTCTCCCGGTATGTGTCAGCTTTTGATTTGCTTCACCTACAAGCCTTTTGAAAGATGGCGGCAGCAGAAGGAGGGGAAGGGAGATGTGACCTTGTGCCCCTCCTGTGATTTTTGCCTTCCTCTAGGTGACGTTGCGGGAATCGGCTGGGAGAGGGCGGAAGGCACCCCTCCTCCTCCAGGACAGCCTGCCAAAGGCAGAGTGTATTTCACCTACTGCGGACAGCGTTTGGGGCCTTATCTTGAGGATGTCTCTGGGGGAATGTGGCCGGTTGTACATATCCAGAAGAAGGCAGGTTAAACCCCTTCCCTCCCTCCCTCTCAGCCAGAGTTCACTAAAGCTTAGCACTTGAATCTGTTTTAAATCTGAGGCCTGTAAGAGACAAGACAGTGAGAAGCAGGGAGTTCCTGTGGCTCTCCACCTCTGCTGTGTAGTCACAACTGCCCGCAGACCTCTGGGGTTAGAGGTGAGGGCTCCTTAGGCACGGCTTTCAAGGCAAGCTCAGGTCTCAGCACATCTCAGCTAGGGGCCGCCCGTCTGTTGCTGTACATCTAACTGTAGAACAGAACAGAATCTTTATTACGGTTCGTAACCAGCACAAACACTCCAACCATAGCATATTCCAAGCATACATACATCCAGCTCAAAATAATTCAAAACCATTCCCGAGATAATACACTGCATTAGCCTAAAAGTCTTTGAGTTACGCTTTTAAGAGATCTTTCCTAATTCTGTAGGCTGTTGCCAAAAATTTGGCACATGCTAATGTCACTTTTGGATTGGTGTCTTATCATAAGCATAATGCTAATGTCAGAGTCCGAAAGGCCTAAAAGCCTTTCCCGTATGGGTTGGATAAATGTAGCTCATATATTTTGATAGAACCCCCATGCAAGCAGAATATGATTGATAGTATCAGCCTCTGCAATACCACGAGGACAAATATGCTCAGCCAGACGTATCTTTTTGTAAGCGACCTATTACAACCTCAGAAGGGAAAATATTACAGGGAGCCAAAGAGAAGGCCCTTCGATGAGATGGAATTACCAAATTTGTCAGATATGGAGCTGCAGAGACTACATATCTTATTTGAGAGGGAGCCAAAAAACTAGGGGCTCTAGCAATATCGTTCTGTCTCTCCACATCAAACAATCGCTGCTTTACCACAGTACAGTAACCGTTCATTAATCTTTCAGGCTTTCTTTTCTAGATGTTGGTTATTTCAGGGGTCATTTTGTAGAAAAAGAGGCGCAGGAGCTCATTAGCATAACTCATCAGCACAACATATTTGCATATGCCACACCCTCTGACATCACCGGAAGTGTGTCAGAAGGCAACACCCACCGCTCAGGCTCCACTGGACTGTTTTGGATTGCTAGCTATTGGGGGAGGGGGACGTGCAGATCTGTCCTCGCAGAGGAGGGAGAGCTTGTACCTGAATAAAACTTGGTCTTAAAGGGGCCACTGGTCTGTTTTGGGCCTGGGGGGGGGGAGGGGGGCTCTGCAGCTTACCTGGCTGCTTCTTGCTCTGACTGAGGGCTGCTGGGAGCAGGGGGTGGGGCTTGCTGCATGTGCCCGCCCCCTGGGCTCTTTACTGCCAGAGCTCCGCTCCTGTGCGCTCCTGCAGGGAATGACCCCTGGTTATTCTCTAGCTGGCCATTTGTGTCACGGTTGTACTCAAGACCTGGGTCACATGCTCCCTACTCTTCCTCACACACTGTCTTACCACGGGCAGCCATCCCGGCATTCAGGCAGGTTTTGGTTTGCACAAACTGTAGTTTGCCAGGTTCAGCTCTAGCAGCAGGTTATGCTATGTCAAGAAACAGGAAGTAAAGGAAGGCCCAAAGGGAGGGGCAGAAGGAAGGGAGTGCATATGAGCCCCCCTCGTCTGGAGGATTAGGCAGGTTTCATGTGAACCGATTTACCAGCTGCTATGTAACTGGTAACATAAATGCTTTTATTCACCACATGCAGCACAGGTCGTAGTTCCGAGAAGCATTTTATTTACTTATTTGTTTATCAAATTTATACCCCACCCTCCCTGCAGAACAGGCTCAGGGCGGCTTCCACACAAGCATAAATACAACTTAAAGTCATACAATTATTTAAAACGCAACAGATAAAACAAATACAAATACAGAGTACTGGCGGCAATTAAAATTAACTTAGATGGCACATTTTCAAGATGGATTTCCGCTTCTCAGATGTTCTTTTGCTCGTAATTTCTTGTGGCATCAAGTCGATGTTAAAACCGTGGGGCGGGGCTCTACGGCAGCGGTGGGCCCTAATTAAATGCCTGGTGGAAGAGCTCCGTCTTGCAGGCCCTGCGGAACTGTGAAAGGTCCCGCCGGGCCCTGATCTCCTCTGGGAGCTTGTTCCACCAGGTAGGGGCCACCACTGAAAAGGCCCCGGCCCTAGTAGCAGCTAGCCTGGCCTCCCTCGGGCCAGGGAGGGTCAACCGATTTTGAGACCCAGACCGTAGTGCTCTCTGGTATATACGGGGAAAGGAGGTCCCGTAGGCATGTCAGACCCCGGCCATATAGGGGTCATATATATAGGCCATATAATAACCCAAAGAGAATCCTTCAATAGCAGGATATAGCCAAGAACAGAAGGTTTTCAGCAGAGCTCATAATTACCCTTCCTGCTTTACTTCTGTCCCTTCCAGAACACCAAAGTCCGGGCAAATTTCGGGTCCCGCCAGTTTGCCTATGCAGAAGGACAAGCTCACCGGAACGCGGCTGACCTCTGTGTTGACCTCGCAGAAGAAATCAGTGCCAACTTCGAAGCATTGCCTTTCGCCATGGCATCCGATAGTGACAACGACGCTGGCACCAGCACCGCCTCCGACCCCGGGACTCACGGGCCTCCTTGCAGGATTGCTGCTGTGGCCACAGCTCAGCAACGTAAAGTCATCTCCTTGAGCATTCAAGTAGCATTCTCTGTCCATAGTAGCCAAGCGGAATATAAATAATGGGAGTAGCGAATGATTCAGCAGTTGAGGGCACAATGATTAGAGTTCTGAGTTCAGCTGGCCGTTCAGTGCCCCTAACCGTAGTATCATCGTCGTAATTATCATTGTTATAATTTATTTGGATTTGTATCCCGCCCTCCCCGAAGGCTCAGGGCGGCTAACGGGCATAAATGCCAGATTACAACAATAAAAACAGTATAAATACAATAATAACATACTATAATTAATTAAAATTCTTAAAAATAGATTTTCGTTGCTCTAATACTTACTCCAAATCGTAAACCAAGATGGTGTTCTAAGATGTTATATATCTGAATAACAACAGCAGTGTACGTCCCCACAACCCTGTCATCCCCTAGGGACGTCCCGCTCCCTCCGATGATACCCGCACCAACGGTGACGGTGTGCGGTGGTGGGAAGGCGTTGATGGAATGGTGGTGGTGGCGGCTCCTACTCGAAAGCCTGGTGGAAGAGCTTCGTCTTACAGGCCCTGCGGAACTGCACAAGGTCCCGCAGGGCCCAGATCTCCTCCGGGAGCTCATTCCACCAGATAGGAGCCGCCACCGAGAACGCCCAAGCCCTGGTCGTAGCAAGTTTGATGGTCTTGGGGCCTGGAATATCCAGGAGATTTTGGCTCCCCAACCGTAGTGCCCTTGGGGGAATATGCGGGGAAAGGCGGTCCCTCAGGTAGGCCGGTCCCTGGCCATATAGGGCTTTAAAGGTAAGAACCAGCACTTTGAAGCGAATCCGGTACGCCATTGGCAACCAGTGCAGCGCTTTCAGCACCGGCCGGATGTGATCTCGTCTAGGAAGACCCATCAACAGCCTAGCTGCAGCATTCTGCACTAGTTGCAGCTTCCGAATTTGCGACAGAGGCAGCCCCATGTAGAGAGCGTTACAGTAGTCTAGTCTCGAGGTGACCGCCGCATGGATCACTGTGGCCAGGTCATCACGGTCAAGGAAGGGGACCAACTGCCGTGCCAGCTGAAGATGGTAAAAGGCCGACTTGGCAGTGGCTGCTACCTGGGCCTCCATCGTTAGCGAGGAGTCCAGGAGCACACCCAAACTCCTTCTCTCATGTTATCTCACTGCACTCTGATGCTGGAAGTGTTTTTCTCCAAACCTGGCTCTGATACCAGACCTGAGGAGGTCTGGAAGAAAAACCCTGTAAATAATGGAGAGCAGCAGGGTAATGGGCGAAGGGATCAGTGAGCAGATCCCTCATCCTCATGCTCTGTTTAAAATAGATTCCGGTTCTTCCCCCTCCTTCCATACGTCGTACCTGATCAGAACAAGTGAGTAAATTTACATGTATCCTCCAATCTTCTTCGTGGTCTCTGTGCATCAGGGCGAAGGGATCAGTGAGCAGATCCCTCATCCTCATGCTCTGTTTAAAATAGATTCCGGTTCTTCCCCCTCCTTCCATACGTCGTACCTGATCAGAACAAGTGAGTAAATTTACATGTATCCTCCAATCTTCTTCGTGGTCTCTGTGCATCACACCCTTGGGATACTCTGCGCCTGCGCTGACCTTCTCGGTACCGATAGCTAGCAAAGGGATTTTCGCGCCTCTCCCAGGTCACGCGCCGGCTCCACTGCGCATGACCAAGGAGGGGCACGCAGATCCCGCCAGTTCTCTTCTGACCGCCGCGCTGGTAGGACGCCTTCTGCCTCGGTCTGCTAAGTACCAAACTTTTTTTGCTAAACTTGCGTTTAGTTAGTTTCTCTTTCTTTATTTTTGTAGTTAGCATTTTTCTTTCGGTGTTTGTTCTTTATTTACGTTCCCCTCCCGCTGGCCTATGGCCCCGCGGTGGGGTTGTTTCAAACGGTGTAGGACTTGCGGCCTTAAAATATCCCCCACCGACGGGCACTCGCTTTGCCTCGTTTGTTTAGGGGAGTCGCACTGTGTCTCTAAGTGCAGACATTGCCGAAAGTTTTCGAACCAGACGAGAAAAAACAGGGCAGCTCGTCTACACTTGGCCCTGATGGAGAAGGCACTATCTCCACAGTCCTCTTCACCGTTGGACACGTCCGGGCACGCCTCGATGTCCACCTTGGCTGCGGACACTTGTCCTCCCGTTCCGGGATCATCGACGTCGACGGTCGCAATCGATGCTTCGGCACCGAAACGATCGACGCCGATAAAGGACCACCCCGTACCTTCCAAGATCCGGAAGCAGGGGTCATCCGTTGCCGTACCTTCCAAGATCCGGAAGCAGGGGTCATCCGTTGCCGTACCTTCCAAGATCCGGAAGCAGGGGTCATCCGTTGCCGTACCTTCCAAGATCCGGAAGCAGGGGTCATCCGTTGCCGTACCTTCCAAGATCCGGAAGCAGGGGTCATCCGTTGCCGTACCTTCCAAGATCCGGAAGCAGGGGTCATCCGTTGCCGTACCTTCCAAGATCCGGAAGCAGGGGTCATCCGTTGCCGTACCTTCCAAGATCCGGAAGCAGGGGTCATCCGTTGCCGTACCTTCCAAGATCCGGAAGCAGGGGTCATCCGTTGCCGTACCTTCCAAGATCCGGAAGCAGGGGTCATCCGTTGCCGTACCTTCCAAGATCCGGAAGCAGGGGTCATCCGTTGCCGTACCTTCCAAGATCCGGAAGCAGGGGTCATCCGTTGCCGTACCTTCCAAGATCCGGAAGCAGGGGTCATCCGTTGCCGTACCTTCCAAGATCCGGAAGCAGGGCAAAGACTCACAGCAGTCGAAGAAACCTAAAACGGACAAACCCAAAGTCCATAAGGTTTCGGCTAGTCAGGGTCGAGATCCCACGCAAGAACCTCACCCGATCGGTTCGGATCTCGACATCGACCTTACTCAACAGACAAATCAGTCGCAATCTGATATGTCGAGCCGTCAATCCTCTCATGCCTCCCCAGAACGTGGAGTCGAGGATCGGCACCGACCAACTTCTCCTCCCCTGACTTGGGATGAGAGGCAATGGCATTATTTGTACGGGAATCGATACCCATACCCTTGGGCACTCCCGATACCACCCCCACCTGAATGGGATCGTCAGTCGGTGTCATCCCGCATTTCGCGCTTTCAAGATCGACCATCGGTATCGAAGCAGTCGATACCGACGCATCCACCAGACCCGGTTGTGCCCCCGATTAACACACCGGCACCGTCTCAACCTGAATTACTCGAATCATCTCCAGAACCATCCAATGTATCCTCCGATTCAGATGGCTTTTCTGAACATATCGAGGATGTAGATGCACAGCCCACCTCGCAAGATGTGGAAGCGGATTTACCTATTTCTCCATCAGAGGATGTTAAGTCTTATGGAGATTTTATTCAACGCATGGCATTAGATCTATCTATGACTCCTACTCTCGTTGCCAGTTTTGTGGATGATAACGTTTTTGACATTATGCACTCTAACACTTCGCCCTCCGTGGCTCTACCAATGACAAAAGTTCTCTTGCAAACTACCAAGGACTTTTGGACTCGTCCAGCCTCCATTAATGTCTCTAATAAGCGTCTGGATCACATGTACAAGGTCCAGGAATCAGGGGCTGAGTTTTTATACACACATCCTAAGCCCAATTCTTTGGTCGTTTCCTCGTCCACGAAAGGAAAAGCGAGCCACTCTACTCCATCAGACAAAGAAGGAAAAAAGTTGGATTCGGTTGGTAGAAAATTCTACACTGTCGGTGCAATGGGCATTAAAACGGCGAACTATGCCGCCTGCATGGGCCGTTATCAATTCAATTTATGGAAGCGTTTGAATGATTTCCTCCCGCACGTGCCCAAAGAGTGCCAACCTCAGATTAAAAGGATTCAGAATGAAGGGATGGTCTTGGCTAGACACCAAATTAGTGCTGCCAAGCATTCCCTGGAATCCGCTAGTAAGACTCTAGCAACCTCTGTAGCGTTACGCAGACATGCCTGGCTCCGCTCTTCATCATTGCCATATGACACCAGATCCTCGGTGGAAGACCTTCCCTTTGAAGGTTCTGGATTGTTTAGCTCCACCACTGACACGGTTCTGCAGGAAATGGATAAGAGTATCAAGACGTCCAAGAGTTTGGGGATCTCCCCCACGACCAAATACTCGAAATCCAAGCAGTGGCCTAGGCAACCTTGGTCGACCAGGCAACCGTACAACAAATCACCTACGGATCAATGGCAAAGACCTCCCTCTCAGTCACGGTCTTTTCCCCCGAAAAATAAGGGACAATCGTCCGGTGCCTATAAGTCGAAATTCCCTAAGAATCCCAAACAGGGACTTTGACTTCAACCTTACTGCTCAGACTCGCCTTGCACCCTTCCTGCACGCATGGCTCGCCATTTCTACGGACAAATGGGTGCACTCTATAATAAGAGATGGCTATCTCATAGAGTTTTCTCTGACTCCCAAAATCTCCCGTTTTATCAGAACCCCGGCGTCTCCTGCCCTGCTACAGGAGGTACAATCGCTGACACAAAAAAACGCTATAGAGAAAGTCCCGATGGCGGATTGTTGCCGCGGGATTTATTCCAAATATTTCACGGTCCCCAAGAAGGACGGAGGACTTCGTCCAATCATGGACCTTCGTTTTCTCAATCGGTTCATCATTTACAGAAAGTTTCGCATGACCACGTTGCAAAGCATTTTACCACTCCTGTCTCCAGGGACTTGGATGGTCACTTTAGATCTCAAAGACGCTTATTTTCACGTCTCCATCCATCCTCGTCACAGAAAGTTCCTCAGATTCGCAGTCGGGGAGGACCATTACCAATTCAAAGCCCTTCCATTCGGGCTCTCTACCGCCCCCAGGGTTTTTACGAAGGTAATGGTGGTTGTCGTCGCTCATCTTCGCCTTCAGGGCATTCAGATCTTTCCGTATATAGACGACTGGTTGATGGTGGCAGATTCAAGAGAATGTCTCCTTCAGCACATCACCATCACATTGTCGGTCCTATCCTCCCTTGGAATTCTGGTGAATTTACAGAAATCCATGCTGCAACCTGCAACTCGCGTGCAGTTCATAGGAGCTGTCATAGACTCCCTAGCCACTCGGGCGTACCTTCCTCGCCAACGGGCAGATACCATTCGTCTGGAAATTCAACGTTTGTTCCAGTCCAACGTGACATCAGCGGTCCACATTCAGCGGATCTTGGGTCTCATGGCAGCCACCACTTCCGTGATCGAATATGCACGCCTTCGCATGCGCCCGTTGCAGCTGTGGTTTCTAAAGAAATTTCGCCCTTCCATCCATCCTCCGAGCCTTCAACTGGTAGTGCCTCCGCAGGTCCTCGTCTCCCTGCAGTGGTGGCTCGTGGACACCAATCTGTTGGCGGGTGCACCGTTCCAACCGATCGTTCCCGTAATGTCCATCACCACAGATGCCTCCCTGTGGGGTTGGGGTGCTCATACAGACGACACTTGTGTGGGTGCTCCATGGCAACCCCTTTGGAAGAGTCATCATATCAACTATCTGGAACTGCTGGCCGTAAAATTTGCCCTCAGATCCTTACTCAGACAGGTTGTAGGAAAAGCTGTGTTGATTTTTACGGACAACACAACTGCGATGGCTTATATCAATCGCCAGGGCGGGACCGTGTCCAGGTCCCTTTGCAGGCTAGCTATGGACATATGGGAAGAGTGCCTTCATTGGAACATCACTCTCCAAGCTGCCCATCTGCCAGGAACTTTGAACCAACAAGCGGATTTCCTGAGCAGAGGGGGAGCATCGGACCACGAATGGGAGTTGAACTCAAAGTATCTCCTTCCTCTTTTTCAACATCTGGGACATCCCCACATCGATGTTTTTGCAACTCGATTGAACAAGAAGTGTCCCAGGTTTTGCTCCAGAGCGGGGTTGGACCCTCTGTCAATGGGGGACGGTCTGTTGATGTCGTGGGCTCACGACTTTCTATACCTATTTCCTCCGATTCCGCTGCTCCACAGGGTGCTTGTGAAAATACAACAGGACAAGCCCCATTGTCTCCTGGTAGCCCCCTGGTGGCCTCGGCAGGTGTGGTTTCCGACACTGCTGCGGTTAGCCAAGGGATCCTTCGTACACTTCCCGCAGGAGTTGGATCTCCTCCAAGCTCAGGAAGGCCAGGTCCTTCACTACGATCCTCTGAGTCTCAAGTTGACTCTATGGGAAATACGCTTTCAGTGATGGATGACCGTATCAATGAGGTCCTGTTGAATTGTCGTAAACTGTCTACTAGGACGTCTTACGCAAAGAAGTGGGATTTATTCCTACAGTACTTGAGTTCTTCCAATTTACCTCCTCCGCCAGTGGATTTGAGGTCTATTTTTGCGTTTATTTTGTCCAGAATGGACTTGGGACTCAGTTTTTCTTCAGTTAAGGTGTATTTAGCTGCGGTGTCAGCTTTTCATCCATCTATTGATGGGTTTTCAGTTTTCTCGCATCCTCAGACGAAACAGTTTTGTAAAGGTCTTATTCGCCTGTACCCTCCCCGTCGTTCTCCGACTCCGGCCTGGGATTTGGCTTTAGTTTTGCGGTTTTTGATGGGAAAACCCTTCGAACCACTGGCCACTTGCTCTCTAAAGTTGTTATCGCTCAAGACTGCGTTTCTGGTGGCCATTACTTCTGCTCGTCGAGTCAGTGAGTTGTCTGCTTTAAGGTGTGATCCACCATACTTGATTTTTTCCCCTCATGGGGTGTCGTTGTCTTTGGACATCTCCTTCTTACCGAAAGTCGTTTCGGAGTTTCATCTACGTTCAGATATAGTTTTGCCGTCATTTTTCCCGTCTCCTGCCAATGAAGAGGAGCGGAAATTGCACTCTCTGGATGTTAAGAGGGCGTTGCTGTTCTATTTGGGCAGGACCAAGTCTTTTCGTCAGTCTCCAGCCTTGTTTGTTGCTCACAGTATGCCCTCCCTAGGGAAGAAGATCTCTTCCCAGACGCTGTCCAGGTGGATTGTGGAAGTAATCAAGCTATGTTACGCTTTGGCTAAGAGACCTCTTCCAGGTCAACTTCGCGCCCACTCTACAAGGGCGGTGGCGGCTTCCACAGCTTTCCTGAGAGGGATGCCATTGGAGGACATCTGCAACGCTGCGACTTGGGCTACTCCGCTCACCTTCGTGAAGCATTATGCCCTTGATGTCCGGTCTACTCGTCGTGTGGCGTTGGGTCGGTCTATTTTGCAGACGGCGCAGGTGTAGGGCCTCGGCCCCTCCTCCAGGTAAGAGTTATTGCTTGCTATTCTCCCAAGGGTGTGATGCACAGAGACCACGAAGAAGATAGACAGGTTGCTTACCTGTAACTGGTGATCTTCGAGTGGTCATCTGTGCATTCACACCACCCGCCCTCCTTCCCCTCTGCTCTCGGCCCTTCATCTTGTTTCTTTGAAGGCTGTTGGGCGGCGGTCAGAAGGAACTGGCGGGATCTGCGTGCCCCTCCTTGGTCATGCGCAGTGGAGCCGGCGCGTGACCTGGGAGAGGCGCGAAAATCCCTTTGCTAGCTATCGGTACCGAGAAGGTCAGCGCAGGCGCAGAGTATCCCAAGGGTGTGAATGCACAGATGACCACTCGAAGATCACCAGTTACAGGTAAGCAACCTGTCTTTTTTATCCAGCGTAACCCTCAAATTTAATCCAGTTCCACCAGCTGGTGCGTGTTTACCTTTGTTCCAAAAGTTGTTTATGATTTGTAGTTTCTCCCCCCCACCCCACTCCACACACATACATATACAAGAGGATACTGCTTTTAGCCCAAACTCACATTTTGAGAATCAGTGAGAACAAAATGCTCTTTCTCTCCTCAGTCAGTCGTGAAGGGCCATGTCAATGACCAAAGAGCTGCTTTGCACACAGAAAATCCCAGGTTTGAGTCCTGGCTAGGGATGGGCACAAACCACAGTTTTGCAGTTTGTTCGTGGGTTATGGCTGAACCATGAACAGATACATCGGTTCATGAACTGAACCAGTTTTTATTGATTTCTCAGCCATTTAAACTTTAAACCCCTTCTTTCTCCTCTCCACAGCCATTTAAACCAGCTGAGCAGCGGGGAGCTCCCTGCTGCTTAGCTGTTTTTCGTGAACCAAAATTCATGGAAGTTTGTGGAAGTTTGTGGTGGTTCTTCAGTTTATGAACATCGTTTCGCGAATGACAAACTGGCCAAGATTCGTGATGAACTTTGGTGCGTCAACTGGTTCGTGCCTATCCCTAGTCCTGGTATCTCTGGCTAAAGATTCGCAGGTAGCAGATGCTGAAGAAGCCCTTCTCTTCCTGAGACCCTGGAGAGCGCCTCGAGGGAGAAGAGAGCTTTGGCTTGGTGGGCCAGTGATGTCACTTAGTACAAGGCAGCTTCACAATGTGGAATGCTTGTCTGCGGACTCAGTGTAAGAAAATACCCATCAGACCGGTTGCTTCCAAAGACATTGTCAAGTCGTATCCAGGAAAGGTTGTTCAATCTCATACTCTTCCCCACCCCCCATTTTTTTGTTCCTTATCTAAGTAATGATATTCCACTTTTTCACAAACATTTCCAAAGCAACTTACAACAAATGCATAGGGCTGGACCTCACCGATCTGTCCCTGTAGCAGAGGCGCTTTCTTCCAGCATCAGGAGCCTTCTCCTGACGCAACAGGCTCCTCTTGCGCTGGGAGAAGTCTCCTCCTGCTGGATGAAAGCCCCTCCACCAGCAGAACAGATCCATCTGATCATGGCCACAGTCTAATCACAGAAATGTGAAATGCACGAAATACTTTTTACCTACAGAATATGACAGCGACACCTCCTGCCATTATAAGATGGAACTCAGTTTTGAAAACTTCATCACGTCGGGCCCAGATCCTCACCCTCCTCCCATTGCAGATGATGAAAGCGATGACGACGATGATGACGACATCCCGCGGGTAAGCAGAGGGCAGCCCCAAAGCACCTGTGCCCCCCCCCTCCCCTAGACATCCACTCGTTTCTGCAGATTTTCCCCTTTCTTTGAGCCCTAGAGCGTGGACTCTAATCCCGGAGAACTGGGTTTGATTCCCCACTCCTCCACTTGCACCTGCTGATGTGACCTTGGGTCAGTCACAAGCTCTGGCACAGCTGTCCTTGAAAAAGAGCAGTTTGTGTCAGAGCTCTCTCAGCCCCACCCACCTCACAGGGTGTCTGTTGTGGGGAGGGGAAGGAAAAGGAGTTTGTAAGCCACTCTGCGACTCCGAGTGAAGGGCGGGGTATAAATCCAATCTCTTCTTCTCCTTTTTATGGTGCACACATTGTAGAAGGTGGACCCCTGGTCTTGGTTTAATTCAGCACAGTTGCTCTTACAAAGCAGAGCAGACATTTGCACAATTTCTGTTGACTGAAGAACTTGATTTTCCCCTAGACGTTTAATTCCATAATGTTTCTAAAGCACCTGTGCCGGGTAGCACAGCTCCAGGGTCTTGAGATACAGAAGGTTCGAGGTTTCTATCCTGACAAAGGCCTCTGCAGAGCTACTCGTTGACTGGATGGACTCGTGGCTTTAGGTTCTTCACATTTTTATTTCCTCCAAGTCCTGACATGTAGACATCTGGCTTCCCTTCACAGGAGGACCACTATGCCTTGCTAGTAAAAGCCTGGGAGACAAAAGTGTTCCCCACCATCAGAAGACGATTCCGCAATGAAGCAGAGAGGAAGTCTGGCTTGGACCAGATCAAAGGAGCGTTGCAGCTGGGTATGCCTCTCAGAATTCTCTCTCTTCTGAATCTTAGCATTGATTTACAGAGCCCTTCTAGACCAAGAGCGAGAAGGCTTTGCTCTTGAATGTTCTTCTGTTTCTATTTGCAGTCGAGAACAGGCAGTCGAGAAAAGCACTGTTGAAAGATCATTCTTTAATTTATTTACGTCACTTATAGCCTGTCTTTCTTGCTGAGAGGCAGGTGTTCTCCAAACAGGGACAAGCTTGTGTGCTTTCCCCCCTTCCTGCTACAGCTGCTGACAGAGCACAGTAGCAACAGGACTTCTACATGGACGGCCAGTTTCCTCACATTTCCACTGCCCCAGTCCCATAGCAGCAGCCATCCACCTTCTTGTGGTGTCAGGACTTTTCCAAGTTTTTTTTTTCCAATCAGCAATTGAATATCATCATAACAATTTGTGTATCAGGTTCTCTGAATTCCCAGCTTTCATTTTTCAAAAAGTGTACAGACCCCTTTCATTGTGGAGATATAAAGGGAAAGGTATGTCTCTGCAATGAAAGAGGCAAGAAACAGTTTTCCCCCCCAGAATGAAAGCTGGAAATTCAGAAGACACCAATTGCCATTACGTTATTCATTTCTTGCAAAAGCGCCCTCCCAGTGCTGGGAATGGCTGCCGCGGGGACCGAGGCAGGAGAAGAGGCTGCAGTATTGGCAGGACTGACAGAATCCAAACTTTCTCACCCACATGGCAGCCATTTAGACTTTGCTGTGACCTGTCCTAAAACTGCACAGCAAATCAAGTTTGAGAAAGATTGGAATAAGCCAGGGAATCCTTAGGAGGTACACGAATGTACCATAATGCCATGGGGGAGCCGGGAAAGAAGGCCTTACCAACAGCATCAAACCCGTGACGTATAACCTACATGGGAAAAATCTCAGGGTGGGTTACACAATAAAAAAAAACAATGCCATAGAAAGTATAGCATGTATCAGGGGTCATTTCGTAGAAAAAGAGGTGCAGGAGCTCATTAGCATAACTCATTACCATAACTTATTTGCATATGCCACACCCCCTGACTTCACCGAAAGTGTGTCAGAAGGCAACACCCACTGCTCAGGCTCCACTGGACTGTTTTGGATTGCTAGGTATTGGGGGAGGGGGATGTGCAGATGTTTTCACAAAGGAGGGAGAGCTTGTACCTGAAGGCGGGCCGGGGGGGGGGGGCTCTCCACATGTCCGTCTTGATCCTCGTGGCCCGACTGAGGGCTGCTGGGAGAAGGGGCGGGGCTTGTTGCGTGTGCCCGCCCCCTGGGCTCCTTACTGCCGGAGTTCCACTTCTGTGCGCTCCCGCAGGAAATGACCCCTGGTATGTATTATCAACAGGCAATAAAACTGAGTTCAGTGCATTCAAAACTATATTCAATTTGTCTTGATTATATCCGTTCCCCCCCAAAGCTATTTTTCACTGGGAAAATAGAATGGGGGTGGGTGGAAACAGGAGCACCTCCTGGCCTGTGGTGTAGCCCCAGTCCAGTTCAAGGATCCTCTGGCACTTATACATTGAGTTGCCATAGGGAATTAGAACTGCTGTGCGGCTGCAGGTCCCTGTGGCCATCCCGTGTGATTTGGGCCCAAGTTGGAGAGCAAAGCACTAAAAACAGTATGCCTACAACAAGCAAAGCTGGGCTGTAAAACTAGAGAATGATGCAATAAAAAAGTAAACTGCATTCGACAAACAGAGCAGTGAAAGCTGCCTAAAATGTCAGGCGCCAACTGCAACCCTCCTCCCTTCACTTCATAAAATGCACTGCTGAACATTTCTACTTTATGCCTCGTGTGGAATGAAAAACGAGTGTGAGGGCCTCCCTGACTTCATCGTGCGGGCCCATTCCACCAAGTGGGAGCTACCGCTTAGCTAGGGGCAGCTGTTGATCTTACCCCTTCGCAGGGTGGCACCTTCAGCAGGCTTAGGGTTACCAGGTCCCCCGGGGGGGGGGCTCACTAATTGGGTTGGTTCCCCACCAGCCTGGATCAGGCCACCAGGGGGAGCCCCACCCCCAAAGTGCCAGGAGCATGGAGATGTCCCCGGCGTCGGGCACGTTGGGGGACACTCTGTCATTCGAGGGGAAACTCTGTGGTTTTCCCTTGAATGATACTGGCCCCGCCCCCAGCGTGCCCGACAGGATGACGTCACTTCTGGGCGATGTCATCGCGGCGTGCATGCTTCTCGCGCACGCCAAAGAACTCCCAGGTTGAGCCAGGAGCCCCCCCCCCCCCCCCCCCGAGACTTGGCAACCCTAAGAGGGCTTTGCTCAGATGAATGAAGCTGGAGCAGGGATTCTGAGCTGTAGCAACCATTTAGTCCAGTCCCTCTCTCATACACACACACAGACACCAATTAAGCAGACAGACGGCAAATCTTCTGTAGCTCTGTGTCATCTCTTTCCCAGGAATGGTAGATATAGCCCGACAAACAGTCGAATTCCTTTATGAGGAAAACGGGGGCATTCCTCGGGACCTTTACCTCCCCACTATTGAGGACATCAAAGATGAAGCAAACAAATTCACCATCGATAAAGTTCGGAAAGGTACATCTCTCTTCTTTGGTTTTGTGGCGTTGGGTTCCGGGGTTCATTTTCATTCATGCAGGAAAGATACTGCTTCTTCTTGGTTAGAAGATGAACACCTACCCTACAGCAGCCGCACTGGCTCCCAATTCATTTCTGGTGCCAATCCAAAGTGTGCGTACTTTGACACCAGGGCCTGACACCAGCTGCCGTTTTCCCAACGGTGGATGTTTAAGACAGTTCCGCTATCTTACGTGAATAGTATTTTAAATGGTTTGTTTGATTTTAAATGTTAAATTATTATATTGTCTTATTGTTCTGCTGTTTATAATACCTATGGCCATGTTAGGTGCCCTGAGCCTGCCCCAGTGGGGAGGACGGAATCAATGCGCCCTCTAAGCTGTGGAGTCTTGTGAGCAAAAATTCTACTTTGTGAGCTCCTGGCATTAATGTTGTGAGCGAGCGATTTGGCTACTGCATAAGTTACGTTGCTCTGGAGCCACCCCTTCCTGAGCCGAGACAAAAATCTATGAGCCGGAGGCTAAAAAACTGTGAGCTAGCTCACACTCACTCAGCTTAGAGGGAACACTGGGCGGGATATACATCTAATAAATAAATAAAGCCCTAAATGGCCTGGGACCCTCATACCTTTGGGACCACCTCTCCCAGCATGATCCTCCCCGTCTTCTCTGATCTTCATTTCAGAATTTATTGAAGATAAACAAACTTGCCCGCCTTGTGTCAACAAAGGCCAAGGCCTTCTCAGTAGTGGCCCCTGTCCTGTGGAACCAGCTGCCCAAAGAGGTGCATGCCTTGCGGGACCTCCCTAGGTTCTGCAGGGCATGCACGGCTGCTCTTTTTGGGTGATGGTGATCCACCAGGCAGCAGCTGTTATACTTCAGTTGTGTCTTCACTGTCCCCATTTCCTACCCTGCCTGACAGTGGATAGATTTTAATGGGATAGATTTCTAACCATTTTATATTTTAATTAGTGTATTTTTGTATTGTTTAATGGTGCTCCCCGAGTCCCATTCGGGTGAGAGGGAGCAGAATATAAATTTAATAAATAATATATACAAATAAATGAATGTATGAATGGCTGCTATTGAAAAGCAGGTGAGGCTTGTCTTTGGGGGGTTTGTTCTCAGTCTATTCACATATGCAGTGTACAGTTTGATGTTACAGCCGTGGTGTTCATTGTGCAAGTGTGACCTCTGTTTGAAAACCAGAGGTCAACCATTTCAAGCTCACAGGGTGGCTCACGATAATTGGGGGGGGGGGGGAAAAAGGGGCTAAAAAATAAAATTTGAAGCTACAACAGTACCAGCACTACCACAAAAACCAGTTAAAACAGACTCTAGAGCAGGGGTCGCACACATGTGGCGCGGGGGCCGGATGAGGCCCCCGGAGGGCTTCTGTCAGGACCGCAGTGGAACTGGCTATCTTCTGCTTCTTTTTCTTCCAGTTCTGCCGCTTCTGCGTCAAGTAAGGTTTGCAGCTTACAGCTACACACCCGAACAGCATACTCAGGATTGCAGCAGCACAGACATTTTGACACAGTAATTCAGAGCAAGAGGTGTCAGTTATCAGACACTGTGAAATAAACAAAATACTGCTAGAGTGCTAGTGTTCTAAGCATGTTTTTATTTTAAGTAAAAGAAACCCTTTGTGTTCGTGTCCTTTACAAAATTTCTATCTCTGGTACCTGGCGTTACATTTTATGGCACGCGTGGCCCGGCCCAACAAGGTTTACGTCCGATCCGGCCCCCATAACAAATGAGTTCGACACCCCTGCTCTAGAGTAAGTCAGGGGGTCCCCATACAATGTTCCCTCTAAGCTGTGGAGTCCTGTGAGCAAAAATTCCACTTTGTGAGCTACTGGCATTAGAATTGTGAGCAAGTTATTTGGCTACTGCATACATTATTTTGCTCTGCAGCCATTCTTCCTGAACTAAGACAAAAACGTGTGAGCCAGAGGCTAAAAAACTGTGAGCCAGCTCACACTAACTCAGCTTAGAGGGAACACTGGTCCCCAACCCTTTTGAGCCTGGAGGCACCTTTGGAATTCTGACACAGCCTGACGGACACACCCACAAAAGGGCTGCTGCCACTTACCTGCTGTCAGACAGTGGCAGGGTTGCCAGATCCTTACCTTGCGCCAGTGGGGGTGGGTGGGAGGGAGTTTTCCGGCAGTGCAGATGTGGGGTGATGTTGCCGCATGCGACGCCCCTGATGAGATGTCATCATGCAGAAGTGATGTCATCATGCTGGGGACACCATGTGGCAACGCTGTGGTTTCTGGGCAAACTCTATGGTGAAACTGAGCTCAAACCATAGAGTTTTGCCCCAGAACCAGAGTGTTGCTACGTGACGTCTCTGGCACGATGACATCAGTTCCGCGTGACGTCATCACATCGGGGACGTCGTGTGGGGTCGTGGCTTCTCTGCCAGCCAGCTGGTCGGTGGCAGGCAGGAGCCCGTCAGATTGGACTATCACCCGCTCCCACCGGGGGACTGGCGACCCTAGGCAGTGGAGAGTCTTATGTCGTAGTGGCGACTGCTGCCAAAGCAGCATTTTTAGCAATCTGCAGTGCCAGTCAAATCTCTCATGGGCCAGCAGAAACGTTGCCGAGCAAACGCCCCAGCTGGCCTTGCCCCCAAAACGCTTGGCACGCCACCAGGAAAGGCGTTGGTGGGCAGCATGGCACGCACGAGCACCATGTCGGGGACCCCTGGACTAAGGGAATGGCAGGATTAGCTTAGTGATCAAATACACCCCTGCTGTTCGCGGCCAGCTTGTGGACTGCAGACGACCTGGGGGAGGTTGGTCTCTCTCTCTCTCTCTCTCTCTCTCTCTCTCCCCCCCCCCCCCCCCCCCCCCCCCCACGGGACAGACATCGACAGAAACCACGAGCCGTGGAGGTCTGGTCTGCTCCACATGCTTTTCTGACACAGTCTCCTGCTATATGGGATAGTTTACATGGCCCAGACTTCATGGCATTGATCCTTGGTCTCGGGGACTTTACCGAACAATGCCCTGTTTGCTTCTTGTTGGAGGTCACGATGTTGACGAAGCTGTCTTTTGGTTTCAGGCCTGACGGTTGTCACACGCTGCCCGGACAGTAACAACGTAGCCGCCAACACCGTAGGAACTGCCCTGCCTAAGTTTGCCATTCGTGGGATGCTGAAGACCTTTGGGCTCCACGGAGTCGTTCTGGATGTTGATTCGGCAAGTTGAACTACCCTTAAGCTTGGAGATAACGGAGGCTAAATTTCCCAAAAGCAGAACGGAACTCTCCTGCCTCCCACTTCTCATTGCGGCCCACTGATCTCCCCTGAGGGAGGGGGGTCCCTGCGGAGTGACACAAGGGGGGGATCTACAGCAGGAAAGGGGAATTAGCAGTGGAGAGAACGTTACCCTTTTAGTTGGAATCCAACCAGTATTCGCTGTGGTCTCTCTCAGTGGCTGAAAGGTGTCAGTTGACGATGGGGTTTGTCGTTTTAGGTAAATGAACTGGTCCAGGTAGAGACATACCTCAGGAGTGAAGGTGTTTTGGTAAGATACTGGTATCCTATTGATATGCTGGAACGACCACCTGCCGGCTATAGACGGACGGCAACAAATGGGCTGGTTTCTCTGGACAATGCAAACATTCAGATTCACAGGTAAAAATAGATGAAGTCTGCTTTTCCTTCAGGGTCACTCCTTTTGCTTCAGCACTCATCATCTCTTAAAGGTAAAGGTTCCCTTGCTCGAAAGCCAGTCGAATCCGACTCTAGGGCTGCGGTGCTCATCTCCGTTTCAAAGCCGAAGAGCCAGCGCTGTCCGAAGACGTTTCCGTGGTCATGTGGCCGGCATGACTAAACACCAAGGCGCACAGAACGCTGTTACCTTCCCACCGAAGTGGTACCTATTTATCTACTTGCAATTTCTTGCTTTCGAACTGCTAGGTTGGCAGGAGCTGGAACTAGAGACGAGAGCTCACTCCGTCATGTGGCGCACTCGGGTCTCGAACTGCTGAACTACCGACCTTCCACAGCCTGCAGTTCAGCGTCTTAACTACTTGAGTCACCACAGCTCCTCATCATCTCTTAGGCTCAGCTAATAGAATCATAGAATCATGGAAGGGTCCATATAGACCATCTAGTCCACCCCCCTGCCCAATGCAGGACCAGCCTCAAGCATCTCTGACAAATGTTCGTCCAGCCTCTTCTTGAAAGCTGCCGGTGAAGGGGAGCTCACCACCTCCCTAGGCAGCTGATTCCACCTCTGAACCAGTCTGGCCGTGGAAAAGTTTTTCCTAATATCCGGCCGATACCTTTCTGCATGTGATTTCAACCCGTTGCTTCGGGTCCTCTCCTCTGCTGCCAACTGGAACAGCTCCTTGTCCTCCTCCTCCAAATGACAGCCTTTCAAATATTTAAAGAGATCAATCATCTCACCCCTCAGTCTCCTCCAAACTAAACATTCCCAAGGCCCTTAGCCTTTCCTCGTAGGGCTCAGTCTCCAGACCCCGATCATCCTCGTTGCTCTCTTCTGCACCCTCTCGATTTTGTCCACACCCTTTTGCTGCAGTTTTGTTAATGATTTCTGAAACATCCAAAAAGGAAACCGATTCCAGGTCTCTTTGTGAAGTTCTGCACATTTGACTTTTTGTGCCCGAGTGTTGTTCGGAAAGGGGGACAGTTAGTCCTGTTAAGCCCACAAATGTCCACTCCAGTGGGTTTGAAATCCTTGACATTATGCATGGGATTCTTTTACTGCTTTACTGTGATTAATTCCTGCTTGTTCTCTGTTAATTCAAGGTTAGTTTACACTTATTTTCATACATGTGTCTGTGGTTACGTAATCTGAGCCCACTGGCTTTCCTCGCCCTGTCTTAAATAACAGAAAAGCAGCCGTTTTTCAAAAGGAGGCTTTGTTCTCCCGAACGGAAGCTTTGTTCTGCCATTAGGTGCGACTGTAATGCTGTTCCTTGGTGGAGGCGGACATAAATGGCACTGTAGCAGAACCAGCCTCACAAACCCACCAGGCTTAGAGCAGGAATCAAAGGGCAAGGAACAGTGCTTGTCAGGGGTCATTTTGTAGAAAAAGAGGTGCAGGAGCTCATTAGCATAACTCATTAGCATAACTTATTTGCATATGCCACACACCCTGACATCACCGGAAGTGTGTCAGAAGGCAACACCCACCGCTCAGGCTCCACTGGACTGTTTTGGATTGCTAGCTATTGGAAGGGAGGGAACATGCAGATTTGTCCTCGCAGAGGAGGGAGAGCTGGTACCTGAATAAAACCTGGTCTTAAAGGTGCCACTGGACTGTTTTGGGCCAGGGGGGGGCTCTGAAACTTACCTGGCTGCTTCTTACTCTGACTGAGGACTGCTGGGAGTAGGAGGCGGGGCTTGTTGCAGGTGCCCGCCCCCTTGGCTCTTTACTGCCAGAGCTCCGCTCCTGTGCGCTCCTGCAGGAAATGACCCCTGCTGCTTGTATGTTGCACTGCTGAGAGGATGCACGTTTCAAACATTCGAACCAAGTCATCAAGCCCAGCTTCATAACGGCTTATATTTCCTGAACGAACTGAGGCTCTGCCTTACGAGACCCTCTGAATGCTTTTATGATTGGGGTTAACTGTTTTTAGCCATCAGGGTCTTCTCTTGTGAGGTGACTGAATACTGGGCAGGAGGTACCGATGCGGTGTTTTTAAGTGCCTCGAAATGTTTCACTGTCTCTCCCCAGAGAACTTCTGCGATGTGAGGCTGCGCTCGCTAGGCTGTACTGCCGCATGGCTCTACTCAATATTTTTGCCCCTAAGTCTCCTCACCTGTTCACTCGTCTGTTTCACATCCCCGCTATCCGGGACATCACCCTGGAGCACCTCCAGCTGTTGTCCAGTCAACTTCTCGCACCACCTCTTCCTGGTAAGATGGCACTTCAAAGACAACAATCTGGTATCACCATGACCTATTCAGAATTTGTCCGCACGTGGTTTCCGTGGCTGCAGTATATGACAGAGGCAGAACTTCTTCCTACTAATATAGCTTACTCTTGGCTTTTCTTCTAGCTACTCTACGTCTCTTTTTTACGTACAATGGAACGCACACGGAATTCTTCTATATCTGAGACCTAGCTCTAAATCTAGTCCTCATGTTTTCCTAATTGACAAAGGCAGTGCAGTTACCAGCACTCCTTACCCTTATTTATTGGTTGATGAAGGTTCGAGAGTGTCAGAATGGTTTCTACTGTTAAATGATTAGTTTATAATCCAACTTGATCCAGTTTGGTGTAGTGGTTAAGTGCGCGGACTCTAATCTGGGAGAACCGGGTTTGATTCCCCACTCCTCCACTTGCACCTGCTGATGTGATCTTGGGTCAGCCACAAGCTCTGGCACAGCTGTTCCTGAAAGAGCAGTTTCTGTCAGAGTTCTCTCTGCCCCACCCACCTCCCAGGGTGTCTGTTGTGGGGAGGGGAAGGGAAAGGAGTTTGTTAGCCACTCTGAGACTCCGAGTTAAGGGCGGGGTATAAATCCAATCTCTTCTTCTTCTCCTTCTTCTCTTGTTGTTGCTTGTTATTGCTTGTTCAGTGCTTGTGATGTTTATTGTTGTAAATGATTGTTTAAAAACGAATTAAAAATATATTTAAAAAAAAAGATGGCACTGGGGAGGGATATCGCGAGAGAGGAAGTGTGTGTGTGTGTGTGTGTGTGTGTGTGTGTGTGTGTGTGTGTGATAGGAGGAGTCCACATAGTCATCACATTTTCCAAACAGCCTTTGCAAAGACGCCCATTCTAGACACTTGTGGTTCTCCTACGATTCGCTCCTTACACGACGAACCTTGTGGTCTGTTGAAATTGCTGAAATCAGGTTCCACTCACACAGCCGGCAAACTGAAGAAGTCGAAGGAAATGCCTCTTCCAAGTATCTGGAATGGGCGCCTTTGTGTGTTGAGCTTTAGTAAGGCAGGGAATCATTCTGTCCTAGCGACCTGATGGGGCGAGAGAAGGCAGGCTTTTGGAAATCAGCGTATTGACAGTCTTCCGCCTCCTTTCCTCGACAGATGGAACCATCAGCTCCAGCTCCATCCTCCTAGCTCAGTCGCTCCAGCACTGCATCCATTCCCAGAACTGCTCCGCCACGGACCTCTTCTATCAGGGCAATTCTCAAACAATCCAGGAGTGGCTCTCTGTCGCGATCACACGCAGCCTGCATCAGGGGGAGGAAAGCCTGCTGGACCTGACTAAACAGATCTGCTCTTTCTTGCAGGCAAGTAAAAAACATAACAAAGCTTTAGGATACGTTAGGGTCATGTTTATTTTAAAAAATAGCCTCTTGGAAGCCAGCGAGGCTCCTTCCGTGACCAAGTGCTTTCTCGTTGTAACTATATTTTTGTGCGAATAGATGCAGAGAATTCCAAAAGGGGGGCGGAGTGTGGGAGAGGTAGCAAAATGCTTCAAAAAGATGGAAGATAATTTAAAGACAACGTGTCCACATTTACTGAAATTACCAAATACAACAACAGTCCTTTTAGCCATTCATTTCTACAGGGAAGGAAGCACGATCGTGTCAAGGTCTCCGGCTGAACGGTGCTTTCCGGCTCCTGCCCCGATCCTCCCCAAGTTCCACCCGTAAATCAACATGCATAATTTGGTGCGCTGTGTTTGGAAATGTAAAATTTCTGGACTTTCTGAAGCCATATGAGGGGAATGGACATTTGGGGGGAAATTAAAATACATACATACGAGGCCCCCAGGGCCACGGGCCACGTCTGCCCCCCACCCCAAGGATGTCCCATCTTTTATACATGTTGTCAAAGACGTCAACACGCAAAAGATGCAGAGGTTGCCCTGTTATTGCTCCCAGTCACCAGTTCCAGAGGAGAACAGTCATCCTGCAGCCTGGCTGGTTTACTCCTTATCACCTTCCACCTGCTTTTGCCCAGGTTCTAGGTCTGCTGTTCCAGCTTGGGTCCTTCACCAGGTTTTTGTAATTCCTGCCTAAGGCCATTGCAGCCTTGCTGCAGGGTTAATGCCTGAGGTAGCTAGGCTGCCGAGGTCTGGGGGCAGTGATACTCGCAGCCCCGTGGACAGGAATGCCGTCTTCCTAGTCCAGAAGAGTATTTTGTCCCGGCAGACCGTAGAGAGCTCAGACCTGGCTGCGGGCCCCCTTTCCCTGCTGCCGGCCTCTTCTCCTCTACTTCCCACAGCCAGGACCTTTTTAGTTTCCCTCTCCTGTAAGTGCCCAGTTCTGGCCTCCCTGTGCCTACTGATGAGTAGGTCTTCCCTCTCCAGAAGACCTTTGCTCTCACGGAAGGCCTCGCTCCTTCAGGAGCTGTCACCGGGTGTCCTTACTCCTGTCTGCTCCTGCAGACCCACAGGGCTCCTCCTCCTTGCCCCATTGTTGTGTTCCTGGCATGCTCAGGGCCGTGTCCCTGTTCCACCCTCCCCCCCCCCCCCCCCTGGAGTAACCAGAGATGTGACAATACAGTAGTGATTTTTTGATTGCATTGCTTGAGCAGGATAAAACTCACCATGTATCACTTGGCATATAAAATTGCACTACGTGGCATATTTAAAGCATAAATGCCCTAGTTTTCTACATGCAAAATCATGAACGTGCTCAGTGTTGCAGAGGGAGCTGTGAATGGCTGCCGTCTTAATGCAATGCAGGGATCCTAGCTTTTGTCACCTGGAAGGCAGGTTAAGGTAATGGCTGAAAATAGAAAACACAAAAATTGTGTTTTTGAACTGCACGAGACAGAAACCCTCATACAGCTGCGACTGGACTGGTAACGTTTTCTGTTGGGAAAATGAAACAGTAAGGGAAAAAATGGGGGAATTGGAGGAGGGGCTTCCCATCTTTATCCCTGTCCAGCCTTTTCAGCCAGAGGAGGTGGCACCTCATGACTGCAAAGATTTGCAGGATGCAAGATATATCCACCTATTGTTTTAGAACCTGAGAAGAGGGGTAGCTGTGTTTCCAGTGGGTGGTTTTGACTATTTTAAAAAACACCTCTTTTCAGAATGCTCCTGAACAATTCCCTTCTGAGGAGTTTCCTGTTTCTGAATCGAAAGTCAACATGGACGTTAATTTCCCCGGGGCAGCCTTTGTGGTTGTGTCCTGTAAGGAAAGTCAGTCTGGATTCCGCAAAGAGTGAGTGACGATGAACGCGTAGAGGGTGGGGGATTTGTCTTCGGAAATGCACCTGCCCCCACCCAATAACTCTTGTCGTGTTTATTTTTGCCAAAGTCAGCGCTTCACATTTTAAATTGGGCGGCTGTGGGAGAGGGAGATGCTGTATAACTATATTCATACAATGCGGTAATAATGTTAAGCAGTCCCTTTAGCATAGCATATATGGTGCTCCGCAAAGTATTCTAAAAAAGAATAATAGGTTCCGGCTGCAAGGAGCTTTTCTGTACTGAAGTGCGAACAAACATTCATTACCTTCTTTTCCAGCTCCTCCCTGTATAAGGCCCCTTGGGCCCGGGTTCTCATCTATGGCCTCGGTCACAAAGTAAAGCGGAACGGCCAGTTGAACCTTATCGAGGCCGTGTGCTACCCCCGGGATGCTTCTCCGACCAACACGGGCCTCACTCCGCCCCCCACAACCAACCAGTATCCTTCAGTCATCATCTCCGCAGACAAGGTCCACATCAAACTTGGTAAGATTAAAACAAAAAAAAAGTGGCTGTTAGCCACAAGGTATAGATAGGAACTCTCATCAGTCTGGGGCAAGGATGCACCGTATTCTTGATGCTTGGGGGGGGGGGGGGAACAGTGGGAGGGCTTCTAGTGTCCTGTCCCCACTGCTGGACCTCCTGACGGCACCTGGTATTTTTGGCCACTGTGTGACAGACAGAATGTTGGACTGGATGGGCCTTTGGCCTGATCCAACATTGGCTTCTCTTATGTTCTTAAGTGCCCACACACACATTCAAAACGGGATTTGGGAACCACAGCAGACAGTAGAGTGCCTGGTTGCACTTCAAATATCCACCAGACCAAGATCTTTGGAACGTGTCTTGACTGTAGTTTGGCTCCGCACAGTGTGCAGGAGCCCAGAGACTGCCAAAGAAGCTTTTTAGTCATGTTCTGATGGATGGGAAAATCCCACTGATTTAAAATTGTGTCTTGGGAGAACTCCAAAAGCATGCCTGAGTTGGGGGCAGGGAGGGGAGGGGGTCACATACCTTCCCCCCCCCTTTGTTGCAAGTCAGGGGTGTATGTAACCTATTATCAGAAGCAAGCTGTAGCAGCTGCTCCATTCCTGTGTGTCTCGTTCAAGGGGTGTCTCCGCCTCCGGGAGCCGTGCTCATCTTGCATTCCCTCCCCCTGGAGTTCCCGTTGGCCACGGCATTCACGGAACAGCTCCTGACGTGGAAACTGGATGACAGTGATGGAAAATCGGAAG